CAATGAAGCAAATGTTTTAGCTTAAATACGCTGATTCCACGTAGGGCATGTTTGTCCATTTTTAAATGGGAGCGAAACTATGCTATTACAAACTAATTGCATGGCTTTTCGGGAGATTAGTGATTAAATGACCCCTTACCCTCGGCAGGTTTGCGGAATTCCCTCGGGCTTCGCCCTCGGGAATTCCGCAAACCTGCCTCGGGTTACGGGGCCATTTAATCACTAATCTCCCTCAAGCCATGCTATTACTTATAATTAATGGACGGGCAAGCGTAGTGTAATTTATAGTAATCGAGACGGGCAAGGAATCATTTGCATACGGCTCAGTGCTATGATAGCCATGTGAAAATGCGCTTTAAAATTCCCCTGAGCCAAACATATCTCCGTTAATATGCGTTTTGAAGCTTTCAAAGTCGGTCTATGGCGAAAAATTTTTTTCGATCTGCCAAAAATTTTCTAAGTGACAAGCCTAGCTTTACTTGACTCTGAAATCCGGGCAAGCGTAGTGTAATTTATAGTAATCGAGACGGGCAAGGAATCATTTGCATACGGCTCAGTGCTATGATAGCCATGTGAAAATGTGCTTTAAAATTCCCCTGAGCCAAACCTATCTCCGTTAATATGCGTTTTGAACCTTTCTAAGTCGGTCTATGGCGAAAAAATTTTTTCGATCTGCCAAAAATTTTCTAAGTGACAAGTCTAGCTTTACTTGACTCTGAAATCCGGCCAAGCGTAGTGTAATTTATAGTAATCGGGACGGGCAAGGAATCATTTGCATACGGCTCAGTGCTATGATAGCCATGTGAAAATGTGCTTTAAAATTCCCCTTAGCCAAACCTATCTCCGTTAATATGCGTTTTGAACCTTTCTAAGTCGGTCTATGACGAAAAATTTTTTTCGATCAGCCAAAAATTTTCTAAGTGACAAGCCTAGTTTTATTTGACTCTGAAATCCGGGCAAGCGTAGTGTAATTTATAGTGAATCGGGACGGGCAAGGACATTTGCATACGGCTCAGTGCTATTATAGCCATGTGAAAATGTGCTTTAAAATTCTCCTGAGCCAATCCTATCTCCGTTAATATGCGTTTTGAACCTTTCTAAGTTGGTCTATGGCGAAAAATTTTTTTCGGTCAGCCCAAAATTTATTTGACTCCGAAATCCGGGCAACGGGCAAGCGTAGTGTAATTTATATTAATGGACGGGCAAGCGTAGTGTAATTTATAGTAATCGAGACGGGCAAGGAATCATTTGCATACGGCTCAGTGCTATGATAGCCGTGTGAAAATATGCTTTAAAATTCCCCTGAGCCAAACCTATCTCCGTTAATATGCGTTTTGAAGCTTTCAAAGTCGATCTATGGCGAAAAATTTTTTTCGATCTGCCAAAAATTTTCTAAGTGACAAGCCTATCTTTACTTGACTCTGAAATCCGGGCAAGCGTAGTGTAATTTATAGTAATCGAGACGGGCAAGGAATCATTTGCATACGGCTCAGTGCTATGATAGCCATGTGAAAATGTGCTTTAAAATTCCCCTGAGCCAAACCTATCTCCGTTAATATGCGTTTTGAACCTTTCTAAGTTGGTCTATGGCGAAAATTTTTTTTCGATCTGCCAAAAATTTTCTAAGTGACAAGCCTAGCTTTACTTGACTCTGAAATCCGGGCAAGCGTAGTGTAATTTATAGTAATCGAGACGGGCAAGGAATCATTTGCATACGGCTCAGTGCTATGATAGCCATGTGAAAATGTGCTTTAAAATTCCCCTGAGCCAAACCTATCTCCGCTAATATGCGTTTTGGGCCTTTCTAGGTCGGTCTATGACGAAAACGTTTTTTCGATCAGCCAAAAATTTTCTAAGTGACAAGCCTAGTTTTATTTGACTCTGAAATCCGGGCAAGCGTAGTGTAATTTATAGTGAATCGTGACGGGCAAGGAACATTTGCATACGGCTCAGTGCTATTATAGCCATGTGAAAATGTGCTTTAAAATTCTCCTGAGCCAATCCTATCTCCGTTAATATGCGTTTTGAACCTTTCTAAGTTGGTCTATGGCGAAAATTTTTTTTCGGTCAGCCCAAAATTTATTTGACTCCGAAATCCGGGCAACGGGCAAGCCTAGTGTAATTTATATTAATGGACGGGCAAGCGTAGTGTAATTTATAGTAATCGAGACGGGCAAGGAATCATTTGCATACGGCTCAGTGCTATGATAGCCATGTGAAAATGTGCTTTAAAATTTCCCTGAGCCAGACCTATCTCCGTTAATATGCGTTTTGAACCTTTCTAAGTTGATTTATGACGAAAAAATTTTTTCGATCAGCCAAAAATTTTCTAAGTGACAAGCCTAGCTTTATTTGACTCCGAAATCCGGGCAAGCGTAGTGTAATTTATAGTAATCGAGACGGGCAAGGAATAATTTGCATACGGCTCAGTGCTATGATAGCCATGTGAAAATGTGCTTTAAAATTCCCCTGAGCCAAACCTATCTCCGTTAATATGCGTTTTGAACCTTTCTAAGTCGAGCTATGACGGAAACATTTTTTCGATCAACCGTGGCGTAGCCAGACTATAATTTTTTTTATTTTTTTTTTTGGGGGGGGGGGAATATATCGAACGCCAAAGGCGTAAGCCTTTTTGGGGGGTCGGGGGGCATTGTCCCCTTGGAAAATTTTGGAATCTGTAATACCTTAGTGGGGATTTCCCGTTTTTCTAGGGTGATATTTTGGATAATTCTGAAGATTATTTACTGCAGGAAAAAATCTGATTTTTAATGATTTCGTAATATTGTGGATCCTTGATTTGACTCATCGAAGCTTACTAGGTCGCGTGTAATTAGTTAAATGGAAGTTTTTAAACGCATTTTAACCAATAACCACCATGGGCATTATTTTCTGTAGTTAGATTTGGGAAAGATTAGAACTTTTATAGACAATTTGGTGAACAGATGAGATTGGTAGTCTGTAGTCACATGGGTAGTCATCGTCACCCCCTAATTTCTACCCGGATTTCATCTTTTTACAAGTGCAGTCCTTCTAAGCCTCTTGGGTGGGCTGTGCCCCCCCTTGCCCCTCCCCCCTTGTCTACGCCACTGAGGACGGCCAATCCCAGTCACATAAGTGAAAAGCCCATACGTAAACAGACAGGCTTCTTATCTAAAATAATTAGCATAAATACCGCCTCAAACACTGCGTGCTGTTTTTTATTAAAGTGTGCCAACTAACCATCGTTATCCTTGTCTGCATCGCAAGCGTCTCCCTGGCCCACACCATCCGAGTCCATCTGATCTTCATTCGCCACTGTGGGACAGTTGTCGCAGGCATCACCGAGTGAGTCACTGTCTGACGCCTTCTGATCTGCGTTGATTGTTCTAGGGCAGTTATCCTAGAAAACACGTTGAATGGAGAAACATACTTTAATTAAAACAATCAAATGAAACACTTGTTTTTTATAATCGGAGAGAATTTCACTTTTCATTTACATGGCTTTGCTCAGCAGATCATTTTCGTTAGCGGTTTCAATTTGCGTTCACAATTTTCGTTTTCGGTATATTATCTACGATACAATTTGGATGTTTTGCAACTCGAAATTAGTTCATCTGCCTTTGTTCTCTGTTATTCAAAACTTTGGCTATTTGGTTCGCATTGTGTGTGAGACCATTGTGCATGTTCACATTGTATATTTTTCTCATGTAATAACCAGCCACATGGATTTTTGCAAATTCCTCGCGCTACCATGAGATTGGTAATTGCTATACGCTGAAGTTAAACAAAAGAACAGAAAGCAAAAGAAAAATGCCCTGATCAGAATTGTTTATGAATCTCCAAAATAGCAAGACAATGTCGTCCTTACCCTGTTATTGGGTATTCCATCGCCATCCATATCATTATCACAGACATCGCCTTCACCATCTTTGTCCAGATCAGTTTGATCAGGGTTGGGAAAATCGCGACAGTTATCCTGAATAATAAAAATTAAATTTTATAAGGGACGACACTCTTCGTAAACAGTTAGTCGACTAGGTCTATACCAGATGCATACCTTAGTACAGTGTGGTCCAGTACACGATAGTGCATAGTCAGGAATGCCGTCAAGATCCGAGTCCTTGCCGCAATACAGTCCGTCTCCGACATAACCCACTTTGCACTGGTTCATGGAAGAAAAAAATGGGTTAAAATGAGAGATTAGACGTATACATAATAAAAGACAGTGTTAGACGGATGCATCAAGTCGTAAAAATTGTTCATTTCTGCATGTTTTATACGTGTTATATCACTTATATGTGCGTGAGTGTCATAGTGATTGTTAAAAAACACAAACATTTTGTTTGATTTGGGAAGTGGAAACTGAAGTCAAAATGACGACATACACATCAAATATGTTTTTTAAAAAGCAAGAAAATTAGACTACATCTCCTAATTTAATTTATTTGCCACCAAATACAAGACTACCGTTCTAATGAAAAGAAAATCATTATTTTCTCATTCAAATGACTGCCTTTAGTAACTTTCATTAACCATAGTTCAGTTACATGCAGAGCTCACTGGAATATGTGAGAACATTTAAAGGTGTCATAAATGAAGTACTGTCATCTTTGCAACATGGCGAATTTTTTGAAAGTTACAATTATGTATTTAAAACCCTCCGAGAGTCTACCAGAATTGATATTCATCAAACAAGTAATATATTGCGATATTTATAAACTTTGGGAAATAGGTTTTGTATCTGAATATGAAAAAGAAAGATTGCAGAGCAGGAATTTAATATCTTGGCTTTTCCAGGTTGGTATCAGTATCAGTACGTATCCGGCCGTATCAATTTTGTGAACTATCAGTGTTTGTTTTCTCGTGCAGGGGGTTTTATTGTGAGAAAATTATTGATTCATGAACGTTGCATGAAAGTAATATATTGGTGTAATCTCGCTTGTGCAGAATTTGTTTTATCTAATATCAGTTTATCACGTGCCTAGCTGCCAATGTGAGCGTCTATTTTTATGAACTATATGCCAATTTTAACTCGTTCATTTCTTTAGAAATTGATTAATTGTGTTGATAGTTTATAAACATGGCATATTTGCATAGCGGGACTGAATCGTCAGGCTGGCTACGCCCCTGACTAGAATGATCTTTTAAATAAAATGATCACAGAGAATCAAATGACCATTTTGTTTATTCTAAATGATTGTTAAAAGCGATTATGACAAAGTAATCATAATCAAATGATCACAATTAGATGAATATTGATTATGTTAAAAAATCATAATCACATCAGAAAATGATCAACATGTACTGATCAACATATTAGAATGATTATTAAATGAATAATCATAATAAAATGATCAATTGAAATTATCATATTGATCTTTCATAATTCCAATACATTACCAAGTATGTGAAATTGATATAAAGATATAAAAAAAGATAAGAATTCATATTTCCCCTTACCGAGCACTCGAACGAACGTCCATGGTGTTTGCTGATACACATCGCGTTTTTGTCACATGGGTTGGTCTCTGCGGCACCTGAACAATATCTGACGCCTTTGCATTTGACATATGGGTTGCCATAGTAACCTTCTTGACACGCCCCACACTTGTAACTTCCAATCGTGTTCATACATTTTGAGAAACTTGCACAGGGGTTTGAGTTTAAGCATTCATCAATGTCCGTACACACCTAGATTTAATAGAATAGAACCTTTGCTTTCATCCTGTGAAAATATCATTGCAAATGTTGACATTTAAAGCGATTTTTTTTTATAGAGAAATTTATTTCTAGAGAAACTCAAATAATCTATAAAGCATGAGCGGCCAAGTTCACCAATTATTTTGGTGATATATGTGGTTCATTTTAGCTAAGGAAGTCTGAGTTAAAGTTTCTGTAAATCTAGAAAAAATTTGTTTCCGATTTACCGAATTCTGAATTTGAAAGGAGAAATGTGAAACAGGAAAGTTTATTTAGTATTATAACGCGATAAACTGCCCTGGTTGCCGTTTTGTTAAAAGATCTTCTTCCATTCTATGTCCACCGGGGCCAATCTGTCTGTTTGTTTGACTATTTGTTTGTTTGCCTGTCTTTTTGTCAGATCTCCGTTTTCAAAAGCCAGAACTCCTTTTTCAAATGCCAGAACTCTGTTTTCAAATGCTAGAACTCCCTTTTCAAATGCCAAAACTCCGTTTTCAAATGCCAGAACTCCGTTTCCAAATGCCAAAACTCAGTTTCCAAATGCCAAAACTCAATTTTCAAATGCCAAAACTCAGTTTTCAAATGCCCAAACTCCGTTTTCAAATGCCAAAACTCAAATCCCAGAACTCCCTTTTCAAAAGCCAAAACTCCGTTTTCAAATCCCAGAACTACCTTTTCAAAAGCCAGAAATCCGTTTTCAAATGCCAGAGCTCCGTTTCAAATACCAGAACTGCGTTTTCAAATGCCAAAACTCCGTTTTCAAATGCCAAAACTCTTTTTCCAAATGACAGAACTCCCTTTTCAAATGCCAAAACTCTGTTTTCAAATGCCAAAACTCCGTTTTCAAATTCCAGAACTACCTTTTCAAAAGCCACAACTGCATTTTCAAATGCCAGAACTCCGTTTTCGGCTTGATATATGAAAATTTTCGACCAATTAATGCAATTGGGTTTGAGCAAGTTAGTGGACACTCAATTTTGAGAATATGAAACAAAATTCTATTTTGATTATCTGCAAAAAAACTAAATATACAGGCATGCTTCTTCGTTTTTTGACAAACTAAAATTTGTCTGTTCGTGCTAGTCACGTCGTCTTTTGCGAACGGCACTTGTTAAAAATTAGTTTTAAAACGAAATTAAACTCGGTCAGAAAGCCAAATTGAACGCGGTTTCCTTCGGTTACTTTCGAGCTGTTTAGTTGTACCTGTTTATTCATAGCGTGTTTGTAACCAACCCCCATCACCACTCCCCCTCGGTAACCAATAGGACAGGGTCCACATTTATAAGCTTCCGCCATGTTTGTACATTTGACACCAGAGAAACATGGCTTGTACTTGCACTAGAGAAATAAAAACACAAAAATTGAGATTTACACCAATGGCAATGTTACGCAACTTTAGTGGTCACGCAACAACCATATTTTGAAACCAGAAAGTAAAATATTCATTGCCACAAAACACAAACGAAGTTATGGCCGTATTTATGATGTATTTATGTTTATGTACTATTTAAAACACGAGTAGGAGAATTTTATCAGATATGTCTGATAAAACACGACAACGAGTGTTTTGAATAGCTTAAAATACGACTACAAAAGAATACTAATTAGGATGAACAATTATATAAAGAATAGTAATGAAGATGAGTTTTATCAGATATAAAGTCACTCCACCTGACATATTATGGCTGACATGATTTGCCACAAGGTTTATGAATTATTAATAAGTATTTTAAATTTATATATTGTAGTTAGTTTCACGTGCTCGACCACATCAGCTATGCTGTAAATTTACCATCGTGTTTAAATAAATGCTTTTATTATTGTTATTATTATTGTACAACACGGCGGTTAACGCTGTAAGAGTATGTGTAAGAAACGTAGGAGACAATATCCTGAGCTTAGACACAGGAGATCCTACCTCGTCTATATCTGTGCAGTTCATCCCATCTCCTTCCAAACCCATCGGGCATTTTCCACATTGGTAACCTGGAGTCTCATCAGGAGTATCTGTACAAGACACACCGGCATAACATGGCCTCAAGTTGCACGAAGTCACTAGAAAAACACGAATATTGTCAGTAGTACTTGTAGCACTAGTTTCACTACTTAAGCCTCTCGGTCAAACGATGGCGAGAGTTGATGAGACTCATGAGAGTTTTCGCTCGCGCGCGGTAATATCCAGTCAACTCTTATCAACTCTTGTTCTCCTTTGATGGGGACACGAAAATTGAGAAAGCTCTCATGCAAACTCTCGCTTCTCAACTCTCATGCAACTCTTGTTCTCGTTTGATGGGGGCACGAGAGTTGAGAAAACTCTCATGCAAACTAACTGCGTCTCGAATATCTTCAGCTTCGTAACGCTTATTTAAAGCCACACAAATTTAATCCCACTTTGTTTGCACTCAATACCACATACCTCTTCTGTCGGCAAAGTGGAAATTTTCAATCATTCGACGGAGATATTGCGTTTCTTTAACTTGACTGCTTAAGAGAATTTCCAGTTGAGCGACATTAGCCGCCATTCCTCGCAAGGGATCACCGACTGTGTTGCCTTCTTCGTCTGTGTCTGTTGTGGTATCTTAATGAAAGCAATTGAGCAATGTTTTGTAGTTTATATTATATAGTTGAACTTCTATTAAGGACGACTTACTGTAAAACTGTCGCATTCAACCTGCTTACAACTCGAGTTGTACTGTGTAAATCAATTAATCAAGCACACAACTCACCTAACTAAGTGCTAATCATCCTTACTTACAGCTGATAGCTAAGCTGAATTACGAAGGACGCAGCTCAACCTGATCGAGTCGAAGGCTTACTAAGAACGCCTTTTGTAGCCACCTTATGACTCGTGTTTCATCACACGGAGGACAGCTACGGTGGAAGGGTCAGTTTGGTGGGATAATCCCAAGACAACGTAGACGAGTTGTATGTTTGCAGATTTACACAGTACAACCCAAGTTGTAGGCAGGTTGCATAGGGGTTGCAGTATGTATTACAGTTCCATTACATCATCAACAACCAATTAGCTGTTATTCACCATTGTTAGTCACTGGAGGAGAATAATGTTTTCGTCTTGTCTCCCTCAAGATTGAGCATACAGTCTGATCAGTTAGTTTTGCAATGTCCCTGTTGAACACGAACTTAAGATTTTGTAGACTTCCCTGGAAATTAGAAAGAAGAGGATTGTTCTTATTTCATAAGCCCAGGTATTCAGTGCGGTCGCTTGTTGTTAGGAATACTGTAAGTTGCTGAAATTAAAACTAAACAAACTTGAAACTATATTGTATACTGGATAACTCTGTCAATTCTAAACTGTTCTTTCCAGAGAAATTGTTCTTTCTGTCCTGCAAGGCCACTTCTTATTGGTTTACAGGAAGCACACTGGCTTCTGCTGAGGGCAAACTATGTATCCAGGTGGTTCCTACATGATAGAATTACTTATAAAGATCTTTCATAATCATACCCTCCAAGGTCTCTCAAATCCTCCTCGACCGCCACGTGACCTTTGTGCCAGCCAGATTTGTGATGACGTAGGTTTTTTATTGACGAATGGTACTAATGTGTTATAATTTTTCAACAACGCTTTCTTCCCCTGCAAGGCACAATCCACGTAGACTGAAGCAAAGGCACTCAGGCCTTTCCTCACGCCGGTAACATGAATAGCTAGCTTGTGCCAAGCTCCGTCGTAGAGAGGGCCTATATTATCAAAACTGACTTCGTATGATCTACCATAGATCATGTACAGCATTGTCAGACTGCAACTGTCATCGCGACATATTACCCAAATACCAAGCACTGGCCGAGCTAGAGGTGAAAAGAGAGAATGCATTTTAAGAATCTGATGTGAACTATATCGGATAGTTTTGTCAGTGCTGGACTTTTCTCTCTAGATGTTGAGCAAGGATCATCTCGTATTGATCTAGTGTTACTACAGGAGGAAACCTAAACTAAATTTACTTTATTTATACTGGATAGCTCTATCAGTTCTAAACTGTTCTTCCTAGAGGTCCAGTAAGGATCATCTCTTATTGATCCAGTGTTACTACAGGAGGAAACCTAAACTAAACTAACTTTATTTACACTGGATAGCTTTATCAGTTCTAAACTGTTCTCCCTAGAGTTCTAGTAAGGATAATTTCTTATTGATCCAGTGTTACTACAGGAGGAAACCTAAACTAAATTTACTTTATTTATTCTGGATAGCTCTATCAGTTCTAAACTGTTCTCCCTAGAGGTCCAGTAAGGATCATCATCTCTTATTGATCCAGTGTTACTACAGGAGGAAACCTCAACTAAACTAACTTTATATATACTGGAGAGTTCTATCAGTTCTAAACTGTTCTTCCCAGACGCCAGTAAGGATCATCACTTATTGATCCAGTGTTACCACAGGAGGAAACTTCAACTAAACTAACTTTTTTATACTGGATACCTTCATCGTTTTTCATCATCTCTCATTGATCCAGTATTATTACACGAGGAAGCCTAAACTAAACTTTACTTCAACTATGAAATATAGTGTTCTACTCACTGTAAATAGTTTCAATCCACATCAAAGCACATTCCTGGTTATTGTCAACCTTCACATTTGCGGTCACAGTGAAACCTCTATAAATCTTGGATTGTTTGGCTATTTCACTAGCCAGCTCGCCTCTTTTCATTAAATTCTGTTTTACATCGCCAAAGATGAACGCTCTGCCTTCGTATTGCAGTCCTTCTGTTTCTGCAATATTGTCGATGCTTTCATTGATGTCGAAGTCATCTAACAAATTGATTTCTGGAGAGCAAAACAAAATTTTAAAGCTTGTTTTCATAGTTGTGTTTCATGGTCTGTCCACCCTTGGGAAACGTGACTTGGAAACAATGTTTCCTGGTTTGTCCATCTTCACGAAACATGGCTAGGAAACAATGTTTTATGGTTTGTCCACCTTTGGGAAACATGGCTAGGAAACAATGTTTCCTGGTTTGCCCACCTTCGAGAAACGTGACTATAGGAAACAATGTTTCCTGGTTTGCCCATCTTCGTGAGACATGGCTAGGAAACACTGTTTCCTCGTTTGTCGACCGTCGCGAAACCTGGCATTGTTTCTTAGTTTGTCGAAGATTATCGTAATTGAGTCGAAGGTGTTTAGTATATCATACGTACCGACTGCTTTGCAAGTGAACCAAATGGCTGCTAGGAAAAACGTTTGAGAAATGTGTAGAAACATCTAGAGAGAATAACAGAAATAAACGATATAAATAGACAGGGGCGTAGCCAAGGGGGGCAAGGGGGGGCGGTCGCCCCCCCCAATCGCAAAAAAACTATTCTCTGAAAAAGGCTAAATCCGTAGAGAAATGGGGGGGAGGGGGGTACACGTTACATCCTCGAAGCTGAAACGGATTAAGTACGTCTCGACTGAGGAAAACGACGAAATACTGGAAGAACTTGATTTCTAAAATCTCGTTAAAACAGTTGTAGATATGGTTCCAAGAGGAATAGATTTAGTTCAGATTTACATGTATATGCATTATGATAACATGAATATTCTTCTCAGACTTATTCTGTATCATATATAAAAGCGAGTAGAAACTTAGAAATGTCTGGGAAAATTTATGTCTTCGACGTACTTTATAATCTTCGGGATTCTGCAAGATTTCACCCCCAAAATGCTTGAAATCACATTTCAGGGACTCTAAATTTTAAAATTTTCCCCGGGGTGCATGCCCTCGAACCCCCCTAGAGCGTACTTTATAATCTTCGGAATTCTGCAAGATTTCACCCCCAAATTGCTTGAAATCACATTTGAGGGACTCTAAATTTCAAAATTTTCACGGGGGTGCATGCCCCCGGACCTCCATAGATGGTCTCGCGCCTTCGGCGTTCGCTTCGCCCCCCCAAAAATGAAGGTCTGGCTACGCCACTGTAAATAGACGAGCGTAAAAGTAAAGTAAAGTAAAGCGAATATGAAATATATTTCCAGAAATAGTACTAAAATAAATCAATCCAATTTCTATTACAGAATGTGAGAAATGCTAGCAATGCTGGTGACAAAGACGTTTAAACCATCTTCGTACGTGAGAGGCAGGTATTTAATTATAGGTGTATTCTTATTCGTGTAAACTGCAAGTTTGTTTTTCACACGAGAAGACACGAGAAACAGTGGATTCGTTTTAAAGTTTGTAAGTTCACGGCAACCAGGTATAATGTCAATCGTGTTTTCGCTTGCTACTTTGGTTTTAATAAATGAATCAGGCCAAGCCCAGCCGTCGAATTGCATTCACGATTCAACGTTTCGGCACTCCAGTGTGGTATCGTCATCAAGGATGATGAGAAGTCGAATCGTGACTTCTTATATAGACTATATAATATACCTATGGGCTATATCTAAATTTTTACATTCACCAGAATAGATCAGTGTTTATTTTTTCATGACATAAGAAGGTTAGGGGTGGACCATTTGATTTTTGATAAGGGAGCGGGCAGAATCTGTCAAAAATATCAAGCAAACGCACACATATCGCACAAGAACAAACAGACATAAAAAATATCGAGCAATGAAATTTCTTATATGTGGCCACGGAATAAAAAAAGAATCAGTGCCTTCAACAACATAAAAAAAGATCGAGCAGAATTAGAAGATTAAAAAAATGATCCCCCCCCCCCCTTACGTTGCGTCTTTAAGCTCATTAGTAGCTTTGCAAACATGTCGCCCACGATTTCCGATTAATCGATTTTGGTTACTTAAAAACATCATTAGTATTCCACTAAGCCTCTTTGACCAATCTAGGAATTCTTTGATTAAATTCGCATGTTTGTAGCTTTTGGTACTTGACATTAAAATGTATATCGTCATAGAAAATTGAATATGTATTTTCTGCACGTTTCAATTTTATCTAAAAAAAAAAGCGTGTCGCACAAAGCAATAGGTTGCTATTGTAACTAATTATGTCAAGTACATTGTTATTATATAATCCATTGCGGGCAAAATTTTTACATCTAAAGTTGTTTAACTGCTAGACCACAACGTTTGAGATATCTTTTTCAGGTAGTTCAGACAAACCACGACAGCTTATTGTAGACTGATACTGCCTACACTGGACCACCACGTTTGAGATATATTTTTCAGGTAGTTCAGACACAAACCACGACAGCTTATTGTAGAATACTACCTACACTGGACCACCACGTTTGAGGTATCTTTTTCAGGTAGTTCAGACACAAACCACGGCAGCTTATTATAGAATACGATCTACACTGGATTCGAAGTAAAGAAATGTGGCGTTTTCCACCAAACGAAATAATTATATTTATATATTCATCTTGGGAAGAACCAACTAGATTAACTCTAAATCCAAAGTGATTCCAATTTTAGAAAGGAAATGTATAGGGGCCGACCATAATGACTTTAGAGAATATTCTAGTCTATAGAGACAGTAATTGGCAAATTTGTATATAACAGTCATTAGGCACCCTAAAATAGCTCAAGAAGAATGGATGTGATGAAGCTCAACTTTACACTAACAAACCTAGACTTGGTTCAAGTCCGTCTCTCAATGACTTGAACCAAATCTAGAACAAGCTAAGTGAAAGATTTGTGTCTGAAAGTACCTGAAAAAGATCTCTCAAACGTTATGGTCCAGTGTAGGTAGTATTCTACAATAAGCTGTCGTGGTTTGTGTCTGAACTACCTGAAAAAGATATCTCAAACGTGGTGATCCAGTGTATAGGTATTATTCTACAATAAGCAGTCGTGGTTTGTGTCTGAACTACCTGAAAAAGATATCTCAAACGTGGTGATCCAGTGCAGGTAGTATTCTACAATAAGCTGCCGTGGTTTGTGTCTGAACTACCTGAAAAATACATCTCAAACGTGGTGATCCAGTGTAGGTAGTATTCTACAATAAGCTGCCGTGGTTTGTGTATGAACTGCCTGAAAAAGATATCTCAAACGTGGTAGTCCAGTGTTGGTAGTATTCTAGAATAAGCTGCCGTGGTTTGTGTCTGAACTGCCTGAAAAAATTAAAATATTCATGATATTTCAAGCACTTGGCTGTTCGTGAGAAGCTATAAAGGTTGATGACCGAGAGTCTTCACTTGATATTCAAACTGTTAATTGTGATCTTTTTCAAGTGGTTCCGCGATCTTAGATGTACGTTATAAAGGTGCACGTCACCTGACGACATCACCAAATAAAAAAATTCGTCATTAACATTAAGCTAGAGCAGAATGTGTAACCTTTCCTCCTGTCAAATCATGAAGTCTGTACAACTTAAAATGTTGCTTTATCCACACTTTTCACAGCAACTGGATACAAGCTAATACCATAGCTCATCTAGTGGTTATAAGTCAAAGAAGGCTCGTTTGAAATAACCGTTGTTTGGTACACTTAGGACACATATTCTTGTAACATGAATTCTGCAACTAAATTAACTTTATTATTATTCCATTATATGTACATATTTAAGTACTGTTTGCGTTTCTTTGTCTTCAAATGCCGGCATACCATAAACATGTATTAAATACAATTGTTACCCTCCCTTATGCGGTCACAAGTTTATATATACTCCTGTGGTATTTATACAACATTGCTTAGTACGTGCCTATGCAAGCTGTTAACTCGTTGTGGTTAAAAAGAACAGAATGTTTATAGCGGTATTTTTAAATATTTCTATTGAAGCAGAAACTGGCAGGAAGTCATTATTGACATTAAGTCCAAACTCGTAATGTCCTTGCCAATAACAATTAATTCATCATTGCAACACAAACCAAGTCCAAATATAATCTCAGATTAAAGTTATAAGAACATGCTAAGTTGGTAATGTGCTTTTACTGGAATTCGTAATTGAGATGAGATCTTGTTATAAAATGGGATGACGGTGGATTTTGAAGCTGCAGACAAACTTCAATGTTCGATGGTTTTTTGCAGATGAAATATCCGAACTCCAAAAAGGCCTTCCACTATTAGTTCTATTCAACCGGCCCCAAATATATGTTACCCTTTCTACTGAAAAGAATATCTCAAGTTTTATGAGATATTATTGGTCAACAGTTATAATTCTGGTATCTATGGAAGTTTGCTTTCACAGCAAAACCATTACAGAATAACTTAACAATATACAATTGAGTAAATATTGAAGCAAATCCATGCTGTCAATGAAGGCTTGAAACTTTAGTGCGTGACTCTACCTACTGTAGATCTGTAGTTCAAGTTTCTGAGACTGTATACATGTGTGATAAGGTGGCTTCCAGAGGAGCCCTTCGAAAGCCTTCGGCTCGATCAGGTTGAGGTGTGTTCTTCGCAATCCAGCTTAACTCTCAGCTGCAAGTATGATTGGATGATTGGATGATTAGAACATCCTCACTTACTTACTTACAATTTAGTAACTTACCCCTTTCTATACTAGGGTATATTTTTTGGGTCTATTTCTTGGGTTTATTTCTTGGGCCTATTTCAGGACTTGCTGTATATTGAATATGAATATTAAAGGTTGGTGATGTCTTCAGATGACGTTTCGCACGTATTTCTTAAATACCATTAAACTGGATCTAAAGTGTGCTAGAAGTACTGATGACAATCTGTAAACGAAGCCTAATTGGTTGATGGGTTAAACAAGTTAATATCAAACCTTATCTGAGGCTCCTGCAACTTTCTGTCACTTTGAGGTCGTTTACCTTCACAATTCTTGGTTGAAATCAGCAATCACTAGGAGTTCTTTGCTCTTTTACCAAACTATGCACTTGTAGGTCTCTTTTATTCTTTCACACGGATCGAGTAAGGCGCCAATGGACTCTCAAGCTGCGAGCCTGTCTGTATCTGCTGTAGCTGTCTGCTGTGTTTTGTGACAGATCCCTTGCGTGACCAGAATGCAATTGTGTCATGGTCACGATAATGTTTGAGCAATAATTACCAAATTGATAACATCACAATGACATTGTATGAGGTATTAACAGCATTTGAAGTATTTTTGTTCGTGCCCTGTGGGTGGGCCCGTGACGTTCGCCACCGTTATGGCGAAATGATTTTTGTACTGTTTATGGAAACATGGTCAAGTAGCGGAGTAAAGTGGTTTATATATGTTCTGAGTTCACCCCAAGTGACGTAATAGGATGTTTACATTCCACCAAATGAAATGTATTTTACGTACCAAAAACATGAGCAATACGTTGGACTGGTTTAGGCTAAATATTTGCCTTATGGGTCATCCCTTAGGAAGTAATGATGCTGGCTGCTACACACGCAATAATTTCGCAGCTTGTATTTAGCAAGTTTGCCAACAAGTTGTGTTCGCACTGCTTGTTCCAAGTTGTCAACAAGTTTGGAAGAAGCTGTTAACAACTTGTATAACAACCTTGTTGATAGTATCAGACTTGATGTAATAATACTTGTTTCAACCTTGTGTCGTCAACCTTGTAACATTCTTGTTTTATCATGACTGTATCAGACTTGTTAGAACAATCTTGTAACAAGTCTGATAATACCATCAAGCTTGTAACAAGTTGTTAACAGCTTCTTCCAAACTTGTTACAACAAATGGGAACAAACAGTTATTATGCCATTATACTTGTTATAGAAAAATATATTTTCCTAAACTAAAGAATTTTTTACAGTGATATAATAACGTTGTTTGCACTCGCGTTGTAAGCCAGGAATGCATGAATAATAAAGGCACACGAACATAAATTTGGCGTAACATCAAAAATTCACCTCCAATTTTAGTGACTACTCTGCATCTATGTGGTTAGTATAGGCTTTTCAAGCATCTATGCAATGTGTCTTTATGAAGAATAAATATTTATTTAGGTTGTTGAACTATAAATAAATATTGCATGAATATGTATTCTGATCAAATATTTTATCAGTGTTAAAACATTTTCTACTTATATACTATCCATGTAGGTTGATTTAAATTTGAAGTATAGACTAATTTTAGTTATACTAGTTCTATCCAGTGTTACACAACCTCAAACCTAAACTATAAACTAACTTTATCCAAACTGAATTGCTCTATCAGTTCTAAACTGTTCTTCCTAGAGATCCAGTAAGGATCATCTCGTATTGATCCAGTGTTACTACAGGAGGAAACCTAAACTAAACTAACTTTATTTATACTGGATAGCTCTATCAGTTCTAAATTATTCTCCCTAGAGGTCCAGTAAGGATCATTCTTTATTCATCCAGTGTTACTACAGGAAGAAACCTAAACTAAACTAACTTTATTCATACTGTATAACTCTATCAGTTCTAAACTGTTCTTCCTAAAGGTTCAGTAAGGATCATCTCTTGTTGACCTAGTGTTACTACATGAAGAACCTAAACTAAACTAATTGTATTCATTAACTGGATAGCTCTATCAGTTCTCAGCTGTTCTTCCTAGAGGCCCAGTAAGAATCATCTCTTACTACAGTAAGAATCAGTGTTACTAGAGGAGGAAACAGGATTACTAAGAGAAAACCTTTGGTGTTTGGTAGAGTCAAACTGGAAACACACTTCTCACATGCAACTGAGTGAACTTGAATTGGGTTTGGTGCTTAAACAAAAACTCCAGACAATCGGACAGTTTCATTAAATTGTTCTAGCAAACATTTGCAATCTGTGTGTTTGTAATTGTTGTAACCGCAAACCCCTGGCCAGGCTGTTGTTCTCTATTGTCTCAGAGTTAATTTACTAAACCAGGGTGCGTTTATCATTTGTAGCGTTTTTAATAACCTCCTGCACTCGCTCTTTGTAAACCAAAGTGTGCTGAATCATACTTATATTTAGCTTGGGTGTGGAATGTAATTGCATCAGAAGAGCTAGGAAGCTGATTTAGTACAATAACTGTCATGAGATAGACAATACTTGTTTAATAAGTAATTGGCTCCTGTTGTTTATAAGTCCAGGTTTAAATTAAGGTGGATAATGTATGTTTCGGTAATAATGCAAACTTTGACGTATATGTTTGGATGTCCTAAAAGGAAACGCTTTCTTTAAAATAGGGAAGTTTTTTGCCTCTTACAATTTTAATTGGAAAAACTGCATGTTATTTCTGCTTCCTAGACACTTTAAATAAATTGAACTACATGCTATTATATATTGTATATTGTATGAATCGTGGGAAAAGATTGCCTGATACTCGGATACACACACAAAAATCTCACAACTTGTCAACAAGATGTGTTCGCAACAGGCTTGTAGCAAGCTTGTCAACAAATTGTAACAATGCTGTTATTTTATCAAGTTGCTACAAGGTTGTTACTCACAACTTGTTGACAAATTGTTGAATTGCAGGACGATGACAAGTTGTTGGAACAACTTGTAACAATTCTGTTGAGCTCAACAACCTTGCAGCAAGTTGTCAACGAGACTAATACTTGTCAACAAGCTGGGAACAAGCAGTGCGAACACATCCTGCTGACAAGTTGTTGGAACAGCATTGCTACAAGTCTGCTGCAGTTTGTTACAACTTGTGCGTTTTATGCTGTATAAAGTTCTCGTAGAAAAATGAAGGTCGTTCTTTTCTATCAGTTGAAAGAAGCCTAGTATGTTTTTTTTAACTCAAACCTCAAAATACAGTCAACATGTCTGCATACTTTCATTCAGCAATATTCTGCCTTGTTTCAATAGAATATTCGAGAAATAATGCTTTGGATAAATGCCAAATTTTCGTGTAGCGAACTTTCGATGGAATGTTTTCGAAAGTTTGATCGCTTCCTGTTTTGTAGAATAACTTTTATAAAAGAATTAACTTCATAACAAAGAGCGGTGTTAGATGATACAATGCAATGCTGAGTGGAAATGCCCCCAGATCTTTGGTTTGGTTACTGCTTGCAGGGTGCCACTGTTATCATGGAGCTACATCGTTTACAACCCGGCACTTCTCACTCTTTGACTCTTCACTCGCATAGCTTAAACACTCGTACCCTGATCACTGTTTTACCAAGCCCCTTACGTCTCTGTGATGATCTGAGCCCCAAACGCAGAATTGAAAGATACATGCCTTTCAAAAAATGATTTGTGTCGTATGCACTATTGCTGCACATTAACTTAATATTTCGTTGGTTTTATTCGTAATATTCATGCAAGGTTGGTCCTCTTTTTCAGTTTATTGTCATGCGTACTAACCGGAAATGAAGAAATGGACTAAATTGTATTTCTGTTTTCACCATTCCGGATCATTATCAATAATTAAAAACAAGTATATAATGGAAATGAGAAGAAGACTCATTCTGTTTTGGAAAACGTAAGTCGACCATTATCTGTAATTTTAAGCCAGGACGAAACAAGGATGATTAGCTGTTCTTAATGCTTTCCCAACACTATCATGTATTGTATTTAAGTTAAAACATAGTTGGAACATTCATCAAACCTTTATTTTGTTAATCTAGAGCTTGAAATGTCCCCTGTAACAATGCGTGGCTACCACCTTTCATCAATTGCAACTCTCAGCCTCGTTTGAGCTGGGCTTTCTAGTACGATTACATGATAGCATCCTCCGCAGGCATCTCACCCGAGGAAAAACGTTTGTTTCAAAACCCATTCGCAGGCTAAAACCCATAGAGAGGCCTGCGGAGGAGGGTAATTATATGACATAAGACGAAAAACTTGCACGATTCCACCTTATCGTACAGGCCCTCTCTCCTCCGTAGAGGCTTCTGTTGGCTATGATTACGATTATCATTGAGATACATTTCACTGACACTTTACATGGCCGATCTCGGAACACGAGCGGGGGTACAGGCCATCAAGAATACGGAACGTTTGTAAAATATTTCCGCTGGGTTCACTGCTACACGTAGAAACACTTGATGTAAATCTACTATATAGAGTTTGAGGACAGGGCAGCGTTGCTATCTTCTTTACGTCCTCAAATTCCCCAACTGGCCAAACATGATCAGGACTCACGTCACGATCTGCATAAATTAAGAAGTGTGACGATAGCGCATGGTTTATTTTTAAAGTGGCTTTCTTTAGTGTTTCGGTTGTGCTCACGTCATACTGAGGAACTTACACATAATGCGCATGTGCATTATACGTTTTAATGTGACTGACGCATGGGGCGATAAGCTGTTCTTCCGTTTCATTAGCCTTGCACAAACAGAATTTCATTTCCAAAACTTTTTAATCATGAGAAGATACTATTGCGTACTCTAAGATTACACAGTGTTAAACCTGACCTTATAAAACAAAGCGTACATACGTACTGCATTTAACTTTTCTGTAAAGAAAAGTATCATATTTTAATAGTAATAAAGCACAATAAAATATACAATCATTGCTTCGTCAATTTTGTACAGAACAGTCGAGTTTTAATTTTAATTACTTTAGCATTTATGTGTTGTTCTCTGATAACTCAATGTCTGAAGCAATGATGTCCAACGTATTCATTACATTTCTGTTTCGTTTGATTCTTATGTATTTGACTTCGTGTGTCCATTTCTCTCATGCAGACAACGTGAAATGTCACAAACTGTCACACAGATAAAAATATGTTCCGCGAACAAACACAGGCGGGATTAAGTTGTGTTTGAACTTCATAAGTAAACGTGTGTACTCACTTTAATACACCGACTTTGTCACATGAAAGGTTATGATTAATGCCGGCACATCTGATTGACAGATGCAATTTATCATTGGAAGATATACACCTTACTTGTATTGATGCTTTTGAATGATAAATTTAGAGTTTATTTTAAGATATCCTTGTCCCCAGCTCGTCCATAGTAGAGTTGGTATGAGCTTTTAACTGGAGGAACTTATATATTGTACAGTACTCATGTGAGTACAATTCTACCGTAGGCCTCTGTACTTTCTGAGATAAGCATAGTTAGATCATTCCTGTAGTAAATATTCTTGACTAGTTGGGCAGTTGGAACCTTCTGATGTTGTACAGAACTTTAGTGAGTAGAGTTAAGTCTTTTCTGTTTTCTCTCTCATTAAGCATCGTTAGATGCAGAGGTGTTCTTGAATGTGAGCTACCTTAAAGTGATCTGGTGTTGTACAGAACTCACTGCTGAGTTAAGCAGAGGTAGTATATGTTCTTGAATGTGGGCTACGTTAAAGTGATTTGATGTTGTACAGAACTTGCTGCTGAGTTAAGCATGGTTAGATCATGCAGAGGTTTAGTACATGATCTTGAATGTGGCCTACCTTAAAGTGATCTGATTTTGTACCGAACTTGCTGCTGAGTTAAGCATGTTTAGATCGTGCAGAGGTAGTACATGTTCTTGAATGTGGACTACTTTAAAATCATCTGAAGTTATACAGAACTGACTGCTGAGCCTGAGTTAAGCATGGTTAGATCATGCAGAGGTAGTACATGTTCTTGAATGTGGGCTACGTTAAAGTGATCTGATGTTGTACAGAACTCACTTCTGAGTTAAGCATGGTTAGATGACGCAGAGGTAGTACATGTTCTTGAATGTGTGCTACTTTAAGTGATCTGATGTTGTACAGAACTCACTACTGAGTTAAGCATGGTTAGATCATGTAGAGGTAGTACATGTTCTTGATTGTAAGTTACCTTAAAGTGATCTGATGTTGTACAGAACTTACTGTTGAGTTAAGCATGGTTAGATCATACAGAGGTAGTACATGTTCTTGAATGTGAGCTACCTTAAAGTGATCTGATGTTGTACAGAACTCACTGCTGAGTTAAAACATGATTAGATCATGCAGAGATAGTACATGTTCTTGAATGTGGGCTACCTCAAAGTGATCTGATAAGTGATGTTGTACAATGCTTGCTTGAGAAGACTATAGTCCTACCTGTGTTTGTTTCTGTTAAGGGTTAACCTTCTATCGATTGATGTTCCTACAATTGATTTTGCATACCTGATATTTGATACTGAATTGTGTAGCAGGCTAATTGAATATTTTTTACACGTGGTTATATTATCGACAAAATTGCGACCTCTATTTACACTTGTTGTCACACAGACATAGTGGATCTTTAGAACATTTCATTAAACGCTCTCCTACGAAACAAAATTGAAGCCATTTCAGACTTTTTCAACTTTTCAACCATGCTACGTGCTTGCAAACGCATGGAAATAGAGTTGTGGTTCGTTCTCCCTTGTTCTTCAACGTTTTCCCCCCATCCGTTCTCCTGTTTCGTGATTAGAAAGACTTCACGTTTTACACGTTTTTTCTTTCGACGACCCAATTTCTCCAACGTTTTATCCTATCAAATGAATCACCTATAATCTTTCTAATCATTCGTCTGAATTAAGCGAGATTAATTTAAATCCGTGCATCAAAATCGCTGCGGGTTTTTGATTAAATTCCTAGAATAGAACAGAATAGAGTCACGTTTGTAAAAATTGATCCTGGTTTGCCATAAAACTTCTGTATGCTAGAATTATTTAATGCCTAATTTTTTGCTAAAATGTTTTAGAACTTTAATTGGCTTGGCAACTGCTCTCAGTAGAATAATGGATTAATCTAGACCGTTAATTACGAAAATCCAAACTGTTTTGGCTTTACATTCAAACAGAAAATTTCAATTTCTTGGACTTAGTTAATATTCGACTTAACTCTAACCGAACCTTTACCCTAAGCCAAATCCTGTCGCTAACCTCACAACTGTATTGTGTATAAATTAATGTAGAAACTATTTTGGTTATCCGCATCTCGAATGAGCCCCAAAATCGCACATTCGGTTCCGTTCGTGCTGTCAGAGTTTCTTCCTAGGCTAACAAAGTTAGATCTTACAGTGTTTTTTATTTTGTTTGCTTCAAAGTGTTTGTATCAGGATTGCAACACTGTTTGATCTTGAGAAAAGCGGATATTAATCAAATTTAAAGCAAGCTAATCAAAAGCTGAGCAATTATACCCCTGTAACGTTTCATGCAGAGATTTATATAAACCAACACATAAATTTATATGGCTTTTAATTGTCTGTTGACATTAACAGCATTATTCAAAACTCATCAAACTAAGTCTAAGTCATCAGAGAATACTGTAAAACCACTTTCTTTGATTGCGACGTTTCATAGCATGATTTGTGACATGTTTGAGCATGCTTTGCGAACATAGCAGGTATGTAAAGTTTAAAAAAATAGAGAGACGAGTTTTTGACTCAAGTTTTCGAAAGTACTCGTAGCTTTTATTAGGGGCAAATGTCATTCTGGATATTTGATTACTCATAAACAATTGCCCTAGCACAATAAGAATTCTAATTAAGCTTAATGCATTTGTATCACATCTGGTCGTGTTCACATCATTTTTCCGCGTCTATTACATTTCCTATTCGGTTAAATGAAAAACAAAAGGCTTTAAAGAAACACTCACTACATCTTTCTGACTTTTCCTGCCACTGAAATGCCGCCAAACAATATTGTAATGTATTTTAGCGAAGCATTCTTAGCCCTGTAAATTTAGCCCAGTTCAAACCTCGTTCGTTTCGTTTGTTTAGTCATAAATCTCTCTGACTTGTTAAAAAGCTGTTAAGAAATATATCAATTTATTTGGTTTTGTTTCAAATGCAGCTGTTCTTGGCGACATAAAGATAGAAATATAATTATTTGTTAGCTATGCCAATCTATGTTTTTTAATTCGAATTGCTCGCGAGATAATATATGTGATACTACAACAGGCTGACGGGCGTTGGTTAATCGATTTCGAATCTAAAATGCCTCTGAAATGGAGAAGACGTTTCATTTGCTAGCCAATATCGTAACGAAGCGGGATTTTTGTACTAGATTGATTATGTAAATCTGGTGGCCTTCTTGCAATTTTATTAATACCTCTATAAAATGCTCGTTTTGCATAAAACGTTCGTGAAAAATGAAATGTTACGTTCTGCTGCGTTAATAATGGCTACATCGTCCTGCGGAAATAGTCGATTCAAATTTTAGTGCTTTATCCCGCTACCTAACCTTGTACTCTGAGAACAGTTAAACAAATCCCACGATTTTTGATGAGATAAAGGAAGCATAAAGGAGCCATTAACAGAATTTATAATGCTTTGAATTTTTAATAAGCCAAACCTCCATTTCGCAAAATGTTCAAAACAAAATTGTACGCAACCCCTTTGCTTTTTGAACAAAACGATGTTCAAAACGATAATTCAAAAATTTTGAAGTAAAACTTTATTGAATCGAAACTTCAAATGGTCTTTTTCGTAGTATGAGCTTGTGGGTTGTGATTTAATTCAGTAATGTCTGAATTTTGAACAAGATAAAATGAAAACCAATTAGAATTTTGCTCCTACGCAAAAATACGTTCATTACAAAATGTACATTCATTGGCGATTGAAATTTAACGTCCAAAGTTCTACATGATCACTTTTTAACTCCTCTGTTCTATTAAATATCTTTTTGAGAAACCAAACTTAAGAAAAAAATGCCGTTTAACTGAAAGTCCACGTCTGTTAGATATAGAAAGCTCAAAGGGAGGTTTTATGGTTAAAAGGTTAGTTAAAGCACTCTGCCAAAAATCCTTTTGAAAATATGTAAACAAACTTGGGTTTTGTTGATTTAATGTGCCAGAAAAAATAAGAGTTCCTTGAAGCGAATTGGAAAGTTTAAATCCTCACGTACGATCATACTTGAAGTTTCGAAGAATAAAAGAAATAAATCTTAATCATATGTCGAGCATGTTTCAATTCCCAGATCGATATCAATTCAAAGGGGTAGGCAGGGTTAATAAAAAATAGAATTTCGCTTAGATTACACACACCTTCCGGTGTACGGCGCAAAGCTGCTCCAATTAATAATCAAATTTGATATTAAATTGTTTTTGGAATTGATTGCAACGTTTACCCAAGGTGCAAATGAATTATGGCGCGCTAAATTGCTCGTGTTTTGTAATTCGTTCGAGTGCTATTTCTGCGCGTGTGCAAGCGTGTGGAAAGTGCAACACTGTGTCAATAGTCGCCCAGCTGTTGGTTTGTATTGCCATCAATTTGCTTTCTTGTTGCGCGTACTGTGTTTAATGAGATTGTTCATTCTGTTTAATCGTGAACAAACCAAGTTTGTCAGCTTATAATAAACGACGTTCCCGCACAACGTAGACGAAAAACTTACGAGTGTACATATAAGTACATCTACTACCTGGCTGGCTCCTCGCAATTTTTCATTTCTCGTCTGACTTGATCAGTTCAAGAGCATCCCTCACAAGCTAGCAAAGGTAATTCTTTTGATATAAAACTTTAATTTTTTTGTATTTTATGTTATGATATCTTAGGGGTTTAGTGTATTATCTATATTTCGTGTTTTGCGCTTGAACTAAAAAAATATGGTGCTCCAATGTATAGGTAGTATTCTACAACAAACTGTCGTGGTTTGTGCCTGAACTACCTGAAAAAAATTCTCAAACACTAGAGTCCAGTGTAGGTAATATTTTTCAATAAGCTGTCCGTGTTAACTTTTCTTGTGCACGATTTTCCCTATTTTACAATTTCTAATCTGAAGTAGTTTTTTCTTCCTCTGCTAAGCCCAAGATTTAATAGGGACTGTTAATTTGTTCCAAAGTGTTGGCTGTGAAAAGAAAATGATTGTGTAGCATAAGATTATACGCCAAAAAGGCTGTGTAATGATTATTTAAACTGGAGAATCTTTCGTCCTGGCAGAATGATATCGTAAATCTGAAAAATATTTCTTTTCATTTTTCTATTTCCATTGATTCCATACCTCGTGAGTAACATTTGGACATCAAACACGAAAACTGCTTGCACGCCCAAAATACGAAGTAACTTGGTTCTTCTTGGCCGATTCTGATATTGGAATCACTTTCTAACTTCATAATTTCACGATTAAACGAGTAAAAAAGCCATGGATCAAATATATGAATTTTTCAGATTCAAAATTAGCCTGGAACCTGCCGTTTCGGGGCGATACTTAAACCTCTTCGCAAGAGTTTGATCGTAATTTCACACTGTATATAGTGTCATTTTGCTAGGCAGCTGTACATCTTATATACTCAGTTGTATATAAAAGGGAAATTCATGATGGACGTTTGAACATTTTACTCAACGTAATTATTTCACGTCTCAAAATTTTGCTCTGAGCTTTTCGTGAAGTGTTTATCGTATTCGTCGTTTTGTGACAAAGTTATTGAAATAGTAATTTTTGACACTGGAAACTGAATCTGTATAAATTATAAAGAGACGAATTCAATAGGGGCGGGGGATTAACTGCATATTGTGAGTATTTGTTAACATCGTACGGTGAGAAAAAGATTTCACTTTTTCTTCGTATTCGTCAAACAATTGCACTTCGCAATTCAGACAGTACACAAGTACAGCCTTCGTTCTTCAAGTCACCCAAGTCTTAAGTCAGTATATTTAGAATTTCGTCTGGAAGCTTTCTGGAAAGATGAAATGATTATTTTAACTCTATTTCTTCTCTCGATGAAATATAGCGATGTCAAATATATTGTCGCTGGATTATGGACCTCTTGGGTATCCCGTATTGCCTGAGTACGCTACGCCCTTTTTTCCAAGTTTTAAGGGTCAATCTCGAGCGGACCACCTGCCCGCAGGCTGCCATGTTGTCTATCCCGGATTGTCGCCCTACAAACAGCAAGCATCATCAACACAGGTATGACGTCATTTGATTTTGTGAATTGTAAAATCAGACCTAAAAATGGTGAAGGGGACAATTTCGATGTTAATGAATTCGTACTCTAAACCTAAATCACCCGAAGGCGATGGGATTTTGGGATCCGAGAGAACAACAAAACTGGGAAACATTTTTAATTTTTCATACTGCTCCATGGAAGAATCTTATTATGGAGTCTTGCAATAAATATAATCGTATATTCTTGCACACATAATGTACGGTCAAATTTAACATTGTTTTTATACTCACTTTTAAAGAACATGTAATAATATGCATTCACGCACAATACATGTTGTGTCGTGTTCATCACGCTTACCTGCGTTCAATCCTTGGTCAGACCTCGACTCAAGGTCTTAAAATAACTGAGCAGAAAGAGCTACCTATACATTGACATTGGTAAATGGTTAGACTTTCGCGTTTCAATCGTAGGTACCTCGGATCCACTATCAATTGGCCAATAGCATGTTAGGAAATCTACTCACCAATGAGTGAGAAACTCGATAAACTCAAACAATAAATCTTAATCATGATACGTTATGTACAACAGGGCTGATATGGGCGCGAACGGCTTCGTTGTCACATTCGCCAGAGCATGCGTCTTTCGTCTCTGAGGTTGTGGGTTACTCTCGCTCCATTCATGGTAGTTCAAGCTAACACTTCTTGCTCCTTTTTTTTTAACATTATCGTTCATTTTCCTCCAGGGAAGAGGTTTGATGCCGTTCTCCAAGTATTCGCCATATTATCCATTATTTGGCGTGAGGCTGGACGACCAACCTTCTGCATTTCGAGCTCACAAACCGACAGAAAAATCCGCATTTGAACCGCCAGCAACTGGTCATACAGCATGCCAGCTTTATTACAATGGTAGGTTTTCTCATTTATTCAGATAATTCCTGTTTATTTCTGTTGCTACCCATTTCACTCACATATATACTGGTTTATATGCTTGGTTACTTTTGTTCCATTCTATGCTTACATTATCAGAACAGTGGTAACTAGGCATGTGAATTATCCCACCCAATTCACTCACATATATAATTTAAATGCTTGGTTACCTTTGTTCCCGATTCTATGCTTACATTATCAGAACACTGGTAACTAGGCATGTGAATTATCCCACCCAATTCACTCCCAATTCACTTAAGCTTCACTGTTAATTAATTTCAATAAAAGTTTGTTCAGACTAAAAAAATATTTTTATTTGTTTCTCAAGATCGTCGTATATGTACCTGCAATTGTACCTTGACACCCCCACGTGCCCCTACGAAACACCCTATATGTACCCCGGAGTACTACAACTGGCTCTTTCCATCCGACCGATTTTCCCATTCCTCCGACGATCTTCCGATTGGTCTCCGATTATCATCGTTAACAACTCGTCCTTACCCGATGCTTTCCCGAAGGCTAGACGAGAACGACAAGAGGCCAGCGCCGAAGCGATTCCAATGTCCACATTGCGAAAAATCGTTCGGGAAATCTTCGCATCTTCGCGACCACATACGAACGCACACTGGAGACCGTCCATACAGATGTCAATATTGCGATAAAGCTTTCACACAGTACTCCAATCTACGTACCCATACGAGAATTCATACCGGGGAACGTCCCTACCGCTGTACACACTGCAGTAAAAGTTTCACGCAAGCTGTCACCTTACGTAGCCATACGAGAACACACCTCGGGGAAAAGGCCTACCATTGTAAAGAATGTTCCAAATCTTTCGCCTGCTTTTCGGGTTTGAAGGGACATATTCGGGTGCATGAAAGTTCGCAGGCTACCACGCAAGAGACCAGGCCTGATGCAGAGCTTACACTAAGTATCAAACAAGAGGTTGAGGATGACGTCATGAATGAGGACTGATTCGCCCTATTTAATTCACCTAGTAGTGACATCGATCCAGTTATTAGTAATGTGGTATTGTTTTTTCATTTTGAAAATATGAACTGTTCTCCATGCCATTCAACTCTGTACATAGCTGTATACTTTTGTGAATAAAATACATTTAGATAAAAGTTTTAGTTATGCTCCTGTGTCTTCAATGATGTTCAGTTTGCGTCAATTACCTATTTCGTAATTTTGATAACATTGACCATGCCCCAACCACGTCAAAATCACAACCATTTTGTCAGCAAAGTAAAGGCCTGCATCTCCAGTTATACTCGCCCCTGCCAATATGTTGTCACCATGAAAATTGCTTAAACCGACCTATTAACAAAAGGGTAACTAGGCGTGTGAGTTACCTAATACTTAGTTACCTTTGTTCTATTCTACCTTGCCATTTACATGCTTTTAATCTTTAATCTGATACTCCTAAATCAGCTTACACTATACTAGGAGACACTTATATATGTATATACATAAGTCATTTACAAAATAACTATGAACTATGTATGAAAAACTTTAAAAGTAAAAATGTACAATAAAAGTGTCATACCAAAATTATACAGATGTTCTTAATGCAGTCAATGCAGCACTTTTAAAAGCGTTGATATTCGCAGGCAGCTCGATAGAAGGGAGATTGTTCCAGGTTATGATAGTTCTTGGGGAAAATGAAAATTTGAAAATATCATTGTTACATGTCAGTTATCCAAACTGCGAATTTGGTATAAATAACGTTAGCCGCTAACTTTATCTATCTTTATTTCACAAATATGATGCATGTTTACTTGATAGCACACAGCAATTCATGTTTACTCGAAAATAATTGACGTGCACCCGAACATCAGATAAACAAGCTATTAATTTAACATGCTGTATTTGCAATTATTCTGTTTAGTAACATGCGCTAAACAGACGACCTCGGCGGCATTGAATCATTTTAAACGAATTAAAACCATTTGGAGTGTTTATTACTCAATCCCCAACACAAATCTAAGTATCGAAGCTCTTCTCTTACTGGGCAGTTCGCAATCTAACGAATTAACCAATCCCGCCTCATTGCATTCCGAAGACGCATCAGTAATAGATCTTGTGCGTTGAAATTTGAGCCTTTGGGATAATTTTAGAGCTGATAAATCATTTGTTCTGATCTTGATACGGCCACAAAGTTCAACCGCCTACCAAAGGCTCATTCTAACTGCGTCCACGTAAGGTAAGCTGTTGAAACGACTTTCGTCTTCAGATATTTTTAAATGCTTCGTTAATGGAGCCAAATGGACTCATTTTCGAGCACATTACTCACCTAACGTATTTATTTAATTTGATATGGCAATTTCCCCCCGTGAGGTTTCAATTTAATTTCATTTTTGTTTATTTTACTGGCACATACAGGCTTTATTGGAAATTCTGTCGTTGATTGCTGTGTAACTATTGTCTTGGAGATACATTACGGTAGGTTTTAGATAAAATTTTTGTATATTTAGTAGAAATTTAGAGGCATTTTATACAAACATGTTGAGTTTTGTTTAATGAACTTGTATTAATTAACTCTGCAAGAGCGCGCGCAAGAATATTCCCTGATCGCTTTTGCAGATGTGCTGAATGTTAAAATGCTTGCAATGCATCCAGCGTTTAAGTAGAACACTAGTTTAAACGTAATTCGTTTAGAGATTTTAGGTTTTGAGGGTATTGGGAATGGTTCTATGCAGATTTATTCTAGTACATTTTTGTCCGGATTACAAATAGTTGCACACCTGCAATTTTTGAGACAGTTTCACGCCGCGCAAAGCTAAACACTGGATGACAATTGATATGTTCTTCATAAAATAAATATTGAAACATTCCAACAAAATAGAGTCTATTCACGCTTTTATTCTATATTTTACGTTGTTTTGCATATTTTGCGCTATTTCCCAATTACAAATCCCATTCAATTACGCATAACTTGCGCGTTGAAAATGGGCTTATTTGCATAATCCCCGTCAAATTGTGGCTAATTTACATACTTTCCGTCGAAAATCTACTTATTTGCATGTTATCCGTGTAAAATGTTTATTAAACTTAAACGTATACGGGGGTAACATGTAATGAATAAACGCAGGCTATAGATGGGCTTGGTTTAAAAAAGGGATATTACTTCAACCATCTTTCGTCATTTCATTTAGTTGCGCACATATCGTAATTATTCAATAGCTATAATTATATACGAGGCACATTAAACTGCGTAAAACGTTGTTGCCTACTTGTGCGTGACGAGTTTAGACCGTGTTTACACGGTTTCCTCATTTGCGTTCGCAAGGACACGCAACTGGTTTGCAAGTTTCGTATTTGACTAAAAAATGAAAAGTATACTAATGGCCTCAACAAGACAACAAATGCACGTTAAATCATTCACAAAACTAAATACTGTCTTGTTATTCATTTAGCTCTTTCATAAATAACATGTAAATGGATTGTACGTACGTAGGAGAAAAGCTTTAGCTGGTAATGCAGCTTATCTAACACCGAAAACGAATCAATCACGGATCCCCACAGGGGCTGTGTAAACATCAGTCTAATGTAAGAGTTATCTTCACACAACAAATCACACTTGCTTTTGCAAATAAAAATCAATTTATGTGAGTGATATGTTTATTAAAGAAAGCATTAGCGGTTTTTGCGTGAGTGCTGAATAACATTCTATTATAAATGAACGCCGTTATGTGTTTATGAAATTGTATGGATATTGGCTGATTATTTAGGCTCGCGTGGGTGTCCAATTTAAGTATATTATTCTATGATAAGTACCCTGCTTGCGTGGCGGTTTTAAAATGATAAGCTGCCATGGACATGGTTTTTGTGTGAACTACCTGAAAAAGATATCTCAAACGTGGTGGTCCAGTGTAGGTAGTATTCTACAATAAGCTGTCGTGGTTTGTGTTTGAACTACCTGAAAAAGATATCTCAAACGTGGTGGTCCAGTGTAAGTAGTATTCTACAATCTACAATAATCTGTCGTGGTTTGTGTCTGACTACCTGAAAAAGATACCTCAAAGCGGGGGTCCATTGTAGTTATTATATTACAGTAATATGGCGTTGCTTGTGTCTGGAATACCTAAAAAACTGTTTCAAAGGTGGGGGTCTTCCACAATAAGCTGTTATGGTCTGTGCTTGAATGACCTGAAAAAGATATCTCAAACGTGGTGGTCCAGTGTAGGTAGTATTCTGCAATAAGCTGTCGTAATTTGTGTCTGGACTATCTGAAAAAGATATCTCAAACGTGGTAGTCCAGTGTAGGTAGTATTCTACAATAAGCTGTCGTAATTTGTGTCTGGACTATCAGAAAAAGATATCTCAAACTGTAGGTAGTATTCTATAATAAGTTGCCATGGTTCGTGTCTGAACTATCTGAAAAGATTAAAAACCCTTCACAGTTTCGTCAGGTGCTTCTAATCTTTTTAACGCAATTCAGACAGAAACAACGGCACCTTATTACGAATATTGCTTGTCAACATTTACTTTTGTATCTGTGGATTTGTTCGGGCGAATTGTTGTCGCAATGAATTAGCATTTATCCCGCGATAATTTGGCGTCGAGATGTTCCACTTGATCTATTTTCGCCGTTGGTATCTCCGCGTGTTGACACATCGTTTGCGCATGGCTCAATCCTAGCTAGAATCTGCACCTTGGAAAACCCCTGTTGTTGAATAGATTTATAATATTGTCGCGTAATATGCAAATTTCTTAATGCCGAATGGGAGCAACTATTTTAATAAATTCGAATACCTCGCAGAGTATAGGGCCAACAAGGGCACATGCACAGCATTTAGATAAAAATGGGATGGCTGCAAGGCTGTTTTCGTGAAATTGAATAGAGTTTATCGTTTTTGCCCGATACAATCACATAGATACGAACAATATAATCTCACCTACAGGAAACATCTTGTTTTTAACATTCTGCTTGCGCATTTCATAAACGTCCCACGAATTATATAATTAAGCTGTGAACTTTATACAAGATTATAATAAGCAAGCGCTTAGTGCTTTAATCCGTCAACGCGATTGCCGCCTTCCAGGATTTGAGGTGGCTTTGTATTCAGCTCAGAAAATAGCAGCCGTGGAGAGTGTTCTACATAACCAGGGTCTTTTTCTGAATTTTAGGAGGTTTCTAGACGGTATGCTTTGTGATTAAGTGCTAAGTAGTTAGATTAAGAGATATCTTTGAGTTGAAAATACTAAACTGTGGTTGTGAGTAGCATTGCCTGGATACAGATACGTGATGAGCTACTGTTCTTCCTCTAGGAAGAACAGTTTAGAATTGATAGAGCTATCCAGTATCAATAAAGTTAGTTTAGTTTAAGTTTCCTCCTGTAGTAACACTGGATCAATAAGAGATGATCCTTACTGGACCTCTAGGAAGAACAGTTTAGAACTGATAGAGCTATCCAGTATAAATAAAGTTAGTTCAGTTTAGGTTTCCTCCTGTAGTAACGCTGGAACAATAAGAGATGATCCTTACTGGACCTCTAGGAGGAACAGTTTAGAACTGATAGAGCTATCCAGTATAAATAAAGTTAGTTTAGTTTAGTTTAGGTTTCCTCCTGTGGTGACACTGGATCAATCATAAGAGATGATCCTCACTGGACCTCTAGGAAGAACAGTTTAGAAATGATCCAGTATAAATAACGTTAGTTTAGTTTATGTTTTCTCGACCAATAAGGAAAAACCGTTACTAGACCTCTAGGAAGAACAGTTTATAATTGATAGAGCTATACAACAATATTAGTTTAGTAAACTTTAGTTCATTTTACGCTGTTTTCATAAAACATAGAAGCTCCAGCTAGCCTGTAGGAATTTATATATCACAATAAATACATCACAAACATTTATCAGTCACGCATTGACCAAACCTTGTTTATGTTCAATTCGTAATCTAAATGTTTGTCTAGATTGAAAAGATTGGCATAAAGATGCTACTGTTTGCTGTCACTGTGTCGGTCTGGCTGACGATATTCACATGTCAGGGTTACGGTGAGTTCAAATGAAATCTCCTGGTGTTTAGTAAACTGTCTTGCTAGCACCTGTTGGGATGGTTTAGTTTGAAATTAATTAATCCAAGGTAAACTAAACTACTCCTAACAAGGTCCTCTGCTTAGGCCTGGCTGCTACTACAGAAGGAAACCTAACATAATTAATTGTATTTTTATTGGATAGCTCTGTCAGGTCTAAACTTTTCTCCCAAGAGATCCAGTAAGGATCATCTCTTATTGATCCAATGTTACTACATGCATGAAGAACACTAATAAATCTGAATCAAGATTGAATAACTCTATCAGTTCTCTCAGAAAAAAACTCTTAATGAGTGGAAAACCTGCGCTGTTTGGGTAGAACAGGGAGCACTGTTCTCACATGTGACTGAGGTGAAATTATAATCAGACAACTGTATTTTGCAAGAATGAAACCTCGGTCACAAAGCTGAAAGACGCATATACTATAGCAATGTAGCAGCAAAAGAGCACAGAGATGAAGCATTTAAAATAACTATCAAGGTATTTTTCTCTTTAGAGATCAGCCTGTTAACAACATTACTGGAGGACCCAGGAAAGTATAATGTCGAGCTTGACAGCGGAATCAACCACCGGTCCGATGCCTTCAAATTCACTTCGCATGTGAAGAAACTCTCCTGTCCCTTTGAAATGTCGTCTCAAATTATCACCCACATGGATGCACACGATTCCGTAATCCTTGTCGTCAATCTAAAGATGGATCCGTACAACTATGGAAGCGTCTTCTCTGCCAGTGGAAACACCAAGGAAGTTTTGTTAGATGTCTGGGTCAAAAGTGGCGTGAATCCAGCGGTAGGGTTGCGCTACTCGCCTATAAACTCATCTAAAATTGAAACACTCAGTTTTGGTCCAGTCTCTGACTTCAGGCTGAAACGGTGGAATAAAGTCGTACTGCATATATTCAGGTATACCTATTTTCTCTAATAAGCGCCTAGTCTCAAATAAAAGCCTCCCTCTAGTTTGGCCTAACAGAGAAGTGACCCTATGGTCCCGGTTACGCAATCAATCTTCTTTCTGCCGACCTTAAGGTTACAGGACACCCATTTTTGCGTTTTGTGGAAAATCGCTACTGCGCGCTCAAAATCAGTCCGATTTTCATCAAATTTTCACCAAATGTTCCCAAGTGCATGCAAAATATGATAAAGTTGTAAAATTGACAAACAATAAAATAATGTAAGAATTATTCAGGAAAATCTTAAGTCGCGGTACCTTTACGCTTTTGAGTTGTGTTCCTGCTGGTTTTAAGATATATTTATGAAAATATCATTTTTATACAGTAAAATAGTAGTTGTTCTAAAAGATTGTGTTCGGAAATTTTTGTTTTTATTTCGTCATTCCGCTGATATGGCTCCTCATTCCGCTGATATGGATATATCCGCTGCAATATATTTCTGAATCGTTTGTGTGAATTGCTCGTTATGATATTAAAATATCTAAAATTAGAACAAAGCCGAACAAAATTTTGAAACTACTACTGACGTCTTTAGCTATGTCCTGTGAAAATTTGAGAAAAATTCGTTAAAACCCGCAGGAGCACAACTCGTTTAAAAATCAGTAATTGCCGTAAAATTCTTCGGGAGAAAATTGAATTTGAATATTACATTTTCAATGTTTTTCTTATTGCAACGAAATGTATTTTATTAAATAACTCGCGAGTTTTCAACATTTTCAACATCGTCCAAACTTGGTCAGATAGTAGAACTAGTCTAATGCTTTCATGAAAACCAATAAAAAAAATTTAGGCAAAATTAACACTCAAAGGTGTTCTGTAACCTTAATGTGATTCACCACTCTATGAGATCAGTGATATGATTAGGTTGTTTGTGTACCTGCCAACCTTGTTTTGTTCCTTGCTCCAGCTTTATAATACAACGTGACGCCAAAAATAATATTTACTAATTACGTGACGTCATATTTCTTCTTGAAATATTTGTGTTGTGGCGATGCCAACTGATCACGCTTGTGTCCTCCTGTACTGACTCTCTAGCCGAAGGTTTCTTCCTAGTAACACTGGAACAATAAGAGAAGGACCTCTTGGAAGAACAGTTTGGAATTGATAGAGCTATCCAATATAAATAAAGTTAGTTTAGTTTAGGTTTCTTCCTGTAGTACACACTGATAGAGCATCTCAGCATAGTTTTATTTTAAGATATGATTTTATACAGTATAACTGGAATTTCTGATTCAATTATTTCACACGCCACGATTAGAAAACAATTTGTCAACGCTTATATATTTTAATTTCTTATTTCAATATGGAATCTATTTGACAAATCTACATAATTGTTATCATTAATTAATACAACGTTCCCACGATACCGGCCGGTCTGCACTTTACTACTTTAGTGCAAATGGAAGTTCTAATTATTAAAATCTTTCGTGCGGTATAATTAAAAAAATAGCTTGTCGACGCTTAAGAGTGTCAGGATTTGATTCTCAGTAGTTACATAATTTAATATATTTCTTGGTGTTGCATTATTATTCTAACTTATTAAAAGTTAATTTTTATACGATTTTTCCAGAATCGGTGTGTTTCAGTCCGTTGTCGATGCTTACGTGAACTGTGAGAAAATTGGCCGTAAGATCACGAGAAGTGTTTTGGATTTATTTGCTTACAAGAAGAAATTCAAGCCCAACAAAGTGGAATTTCGTATCGCACAGAGAGGTTATGGCAGGAACGTTCACTCAAGATATTTGGTGAGTTTGGAGCAGAACGAACTAAACTAACTTTTTTAAATTGTACTCCTTAGAGGTCGAGTATGAGGATCATCTCATTGATTCAGTGTTACTACAGGAGGAAACCTAAACTAAACTAACTTTATTTATACTGGTTAGTTCTATCAGTTCTAAACTGTTCTCCCTAGTGGTCCAGTAACGATAATCTCTTATTGATCCAGTGTTTCTACAGGAGAAAACCTAAACAAAACTAACTTTATTTATACTGGACAACTCTATCAGTTCTAAACTAAGTAAGGGTCACCTCATTACCACTGGTGCAGTGTTACTTTAGTAGGAAACTAGAGTACTCGGGGGAAACCGTTGGTGTTTGGTAGAGTCAAACTGGAAACACTCTTCTCATATGTGACTGAGATGAAATTATAATCAGACAACCGCATATTACAGGAATCAAACTTCGTTCACAGAGATGAAAGGCAGGATTTTTAAACTGAAGAAATATATTTTGTTCTCAGGGCTCCATGCAAGATTTACGGCTGGTCTTTAAGAGAGACATAGACACGTTTGTTGATAAGGATTTGTGCAAGTTTCCGTTTGAAGAGAAGAACGAGTTTATACGCACATACCATCGGGCATTAGGTACGCTGAATTTTCTAAGTGTAGATTTGATTTATTTATATTTTATTTTAATGATTTAGCAATACATAATTACAAGGTATAATGAGCAAAAGGACTCGTAGTCTCCTACTAGGCTATATATCACATGTCGTTGATCCAAAGCAATTCATCTTTATTTCAGCTGAACCAATTCGTGCTGATTATGGCGCTGAACCAGCGATGACGGAACTCATGAGCATGATCAAGGATTTACGATATGATTTAACTATCCAGGTAAAACACTTACACTGACGTAGTTTTTTGAGTGACTTCAAAAAATTAAAGACATTACTAATTTTTGAGCGGTCTGTGTTAGTGTGGGTAATGGCAATGACAAGAAAGTTTCAGATTGATAGGGATACAACTACCTGAAAAATACAAGGAGAACTTCGACGTTTCGAGCGAACGCCCTTCGTCACTTTGCTCAAATCGTCGTGTTTTTAATTAACCTCAATTAAGCGTGTTTGATATTTTTACAATCATTGCTCATTCATGTATATAATACTACCAACACTGAGCCTTTTTACTCGTATAAAGACGATTTAATTTCTATAATAAATATTCAATAAAACTATCATTCTTTTTTATGGCAACGACAGACTGCGGAGATGAAATACGTCAGAGAACTTGTGGAAGGGTGCGAACTCTGCAGAGGTAATGAATGGATTTTACCAACAGTAGTGCAATGCACAGTTTAGTATATTTCCTTGGGTAATTTCTTCTGTGCGTGATTCATGTGTAATAGTTTCTTTACAAACTTTTAGTAACGGATTTCTGCTCCATGAGGCCATGCTATCCAGGCGTACAGTGCTTCAACGCTCCAAAGTCTAAGGATGGATTTTACTGTGGTAACTGTCCATTTGGTAGCCATGGGGACGGAATACATTGCAGTGACATTGATGAGGTACGCTCGGCATACTCTCCAGAACAGGGATATCGGTGTCAGAGTAGTTAGTGCATGTATCTTTCATCGCTGTGACTGGGGTTTGATTCTTGCAATATACAGTTGTGTGATTATAATTTCAGCTCAGTCACATGTGAGAAGAATGCTTCCAGTTTGACTCTACCAAACAGCACAGAGTTCCTCCTGGTGTTCCCCTATAATAACACTGGAGTAATAAAGAACGATCTTTTGGGAGAACAGTTTAGAACTGATAGAGCTATCCAGTATAAAACAGCTAGTCAAGTTCAGGTTTCCTCCTGTAGTAACACTGGATCAATAAGAGATGGCTCTTTCTGGACCTCTAGGAAGAACAGTTTAGAACTGATAGAGCTATGCAGTATAAATAAAGTTAGTTTAGTATATGTTTCCTCCTGTAGTAACACTGGATCAATAACAGATGATCCTTACTGGACCTCTAAGTGGAGAATAGTTTAGAACTGATAAAGCTGTCCAGTATAAATAAATAAAGTTAGTTTAGTTTAGAATTCTTCTTGTAGTAACACTGGATCAGTAAGAGATGATCCTTACTGGACCTATAGAAAGGACAGTTTAAAAATGATACAAATACCCAGTATAAATAAAGTTCATGGTTTATAATAATTTTCTTTCCAGTGTGATTATCACCCATGTTCAGTGCTCTCAACTTGCATCAATAAAAGTCCAGGTTACACGTGTGAGGCTTGCCCATCTGGCTACAGTGGACTCGTCCCGAGTGGTATCGGAATTAAACACGCAGCGAGAACGAAACAGGTCGTGTTTGTGTTTTGTTTCTCACAATAATGCGTGTTAGGGATCCAGAGTAGTTGGAGACGTAGTCAATAGAATAAAAATGTTAGGGAACTCGATGCAGACATAATACACCTCATTGTCTCATTGTTTTTGTCTTGCTTTATGCAAAACATGATCGGTTTATCGTCACGTGTGTATTGTGTATTGTTGTACATGTTGTATAATTTTTCATTTAGGTTTGTGCGGATGTAAATGAGTGTGAAATCGACAACGGTGGGTGTGATAAACTTGTAGAATGCAAAAACACGCCGGTGAGTGATCCCTAGATTCCCTACAGATCATCAGTTTTAGTGCGGGAAACACAAGACAGGACTTTCCAGATGAACCAGCTGGAATAGAGACCACTCAGACACCGAGTAGAGACATACAGAGTTGTAACTAGTGTACCCACTTTTGTGCGCATGTTCGGCAAGTTACTAGATGCATGCATCTGATTGGATGAGGTCCTGATGACGACTCACTTTAAACTTGCTGAGCACGCGCAGTTGATCATTTTTTGCCCGGTCGCCTGAAAAAAGTGGGTACATGAAAACGTAAGCTTCCGCAGTGTTTACGACGGTCAGTTATAGCTCTGTAGACGTCGGACGTTTTGTTGGTGCCTATGACGTTGGCGTAACCGTTGCAATGCTGTCGTCATATTCTCTTGACTAGTGCGCTTACGAGAGACCCCACGCCCCCTTGTTTAAATCTCACCATTTTATTTCATTCATTTTACACTAGAAGTTAAATGGTTTGTTTTTTCTCCATATCCAGGGTAGTTTCAAATGCGAGCCTTGTCCTGCGGGGTACGATGGCGATCCGAAGATCGAATGTCGTTTCCAACAATATTGCAACTCTCAGAATCCCAAGAGTAACCCTTGCAACAAATATGCCAGGTGTGTCCCGTTGAATGATGGGAAGGATTACAGATGTGAGGTAAGTATGCTTTGATCGCAATATACAAGACTGGATAGCGTCAAGAATGAAACCAGTTAGAATTTGATATAACTTGATTAATGGTACGGCCCTTCAACCTCGTTCCCAGGCTCTTTGCTCTTGCTTCCCAAGAGCAAAGAGCCTGGGAACGAGGTTGACGGCCCTTTAGAACAAAACTGGTAATAGCTGGCAGAAGCTGGCAGCAGTTTAAGTACTATTTAAAGCACGCGTAGGAGTGTTTTATGAGGCGCAGCCGAGCGTTTTATATCTGATAAAACACGACTACAAGTGCTTTAAATGGCGTAAAAAACGACTCATCTTATACGAGTTCATTGGCGAAGTAATTTTTAAAATAAACTTTGTCTAAACCGAGAAAATCAAAGCTAAAGTTTATGTAAATCAGGACAAATCTTGATTTATGAATGATTTTCTATCACATGTAAAGTTACGACACCCTTATTATTTTTCTTTGTGTTTTCCTCCTGAATTATTAATGAGGTTTCTAACGTGGTTTAACATTCGTATATTCGTCAAGTGCTATATTGGTTTTGCTGGAGATGGGTTGATTTGTGGATATGACAAGGATGCTGATGGATACCCTGATGAAAATCTCGACTGCAAAGATAAATATTGTGTAAAGGTATAGTATATATCTCTTGAACGAACTTCGCTGGCCATATAGTCGTATAGCTATAAACTAACTTTATGTACTCCGTTTTTAACACCAGAACTCCCTTTACAAATGCCAGAACTCCCTTTTCAAATGGCAGGACTTGGTTTTTCAAATGCCCGAAGTACCTTTACAAACGCCAGAACTCCCTTTTCAAATGCCAGAGCTCCTTTACAAATGCAGGAACTCCCTTTTCAAATGCCAGAATTCCATTTTCAAATGCCAGGCTAATTATTTACTCATTGATATTTAAATGATTTGAGATTTATGCTGCATGGATGGCTCAATCAGCTCTAAGCTGCTCTCCCTATAGCTACATTATAGCCATCCTTGTTCGTCTGGTGTTACAACAGGAGAAAACCAGAGTATTCGGAGAAAACCTGTGGTGTTTGGTAGAGTCAAACTGGAAGCACTCTTCTCACATGTGACTGAGGTGAAATTATAATCAGACCACTGCATATATAGCACGAATCACAGCCCTGATCAGAGAGGTGTAAGACACACGTATTATTATAAAAAAATGCTGTGCTGAGTGGTTATATTACTACCTTAAAAAATAAGCAGAAACTTGACGTTTCGAGCGAAGGCCCTTCGCCAAGAGTTAGTAGCCATTATTATAACCTCTGTTTCGCCAACACTCTGTCAATCGCAAATAAGAGACACTGCAACCTTACTTCTTCTGTAAGTTTTGAAGCCCCACTGAGAACAAGCCTTTCAAGTATGTATTAATTGTGTTTATTTTCTGTTACCATTGAAGGATAACTGTCCGTCTCAACCCAATCCAGACCAGAAAGACCGAGATGGCGACGATGTTGGAGATATGTGCGATAATGATATTGATAACGATAGAATTTTTAATAAAGAGGTAACATGAAATCCTGGAACAGGTTTTAAATAACGTTGTCTATACTGAGTAGCTCTATCAGTTCTAAACTGATAAGAAGGGACTCGGGAAAAAACCTAAACTGAACTAACTATATTTATACCAGACAGACTACATAAACTGTTCTTCCTAGAGGTCCAGTAAGGGTCATCTCTTATTGATCCAGTGTTACTACAGGAGGAAACCTAAACTAAACTAACTTTATTTATACTGGATAGCTCTGTCAGTTCTAAACTGTTCTTCCTAGAGGTCCAGTAAGGATCATCTCTTATTGATTCAGTGTTACTACAGGAGGAAACCTAAACTAAACTAACTTTATTTATACTTGATAGCTTTATCAGTTCTAAACTGTTCTTCCTAGAGGTCCAGTAAGGATCATCTCTTATTGATTCAGTGTTACTACAGGAGGAAACCTAAACTAAACTAACTTTATTTATACTTGATAGCTCTATCAGTTCTAAACTGTTCTTCCTAGAGGTCCAGTAAGGATCATCTTTTATTGATCCAGTGTTACTGCAGAAGGAAACCTAAACTAAACTAACATTATTTATACTGGATAGCTCTATCAGTTCTAAACTGTTCTCCCTAGAAGTCAAATAAGGATCATCTCTTATTGATCCAGTGTTACTACAGGAGGAAAGCTAAACTAAACTAACTTTATTTATACTGGATAGCTCTATCAGTTCTAAACTGTTCTTCCTAGAGGTCCAGTAAGGATCATCTCTTATTGATCCAGTGTTACTACAGGAGGAAACCTAAACTAAACTAACTTTATTTATACTGGATAGCTCTATCAGTTCTACACTGTTCTTCCTAGAGGTCCAGTAAGGATCATCTCTTATTGATCCAGTGTTACTACAGGAGAAAACCTAAACTAAACTAACTTTATTTATACTGGATAGCTCTATCAGTACTAAACTGTTCTTCCTAGAGGTCCAGTAAGGATCATCTCTTATTGATCCAGTGTTACTACAGGAGAAAACCAGAGTACCTGGGGAAAACCTGTGGTGTTTGGTGGAGTCAAACTGAAAGCATTCTTCTCACATGTGACTGAGGTGAAATTATAATCAGACAACTGCACATTACAGGAATCAAACCACGGTCACAAAGATGAAAGACACATGTACTGTGCCACATGACTGAAAATTCTGTTCTTTCTTTGTTGAGGATATTTAATAGATACGGTATTGGTCGGTTGCAGTATGTAAAAGAAGACCATTATATCATCATCAACTTCAGAGTGTTGATACTTATAGCAGCAAGACAATTAAACCACATCTCTCAATTTTATTTATTTGCCTCCAAATATAAGACTTTTTCTCGTATTTTCTCTTGTTTTCTTCAGAGGGATACAGATGGTGACTTCCTTGGCAACCCATGTGACACGAACGTGGACAAGACAAGATGGCGTGGAAGACACTGTTGATAACTGTCCACTTGTTAGTAATCCTGAACAAAAAGATAATAATGGACAACTTGCATGTTAGACTAAATTTTAATCTAAGTAAAGAGAAGGGAATCAAACAACACAGTTAAAAAGAACATAATGACATTAGTAAAAGTGCAAATTGTTACCATTTTCGGCTCAAAAATGGTAACAATTTCCGCACGTAATACAAACATACGAAAATATGCAAACTTCGCAAGGCTATATTTTCTGTTTTTACAACATTTCGTAACCAAATTTTGCAATTTTACTGCTTTTAATAAGCTCTTTACGGGAATTTACTTTTTTTGCCTAAATAAAAAATTAGTCTAACATGCAAGTTGTCTATTGTACCATCAATGCCACAAGCAGGTTCTCAGGAGTAGGTGTCAATAATTTTGACTTGTTTTCTTCCACAGGTGATGTCTGTGATGAGGATGATGATAATGATTCGATCTTTGATGCTTTAGACAATTGTCCATTGGTCGCCAATAAAAACCAGAACGATACCGACGGTAATACGGAATTTTTTAGTGGAATATATCCTGAACGAGAAGATGTTTACTGTTTGAAAAGCCTTACGAAGCACTAACCAAGTTGTTTTTTTACTTCGAGTGAATGACATGACGTTTTAAACAAACCAGTATTTAAGAGAGATTCAACGTGAAAGATGACTTAATTTATTGCTGTGGTATTAAGATAACAATACGCTGTTAGTTTCCATTGCATTTTGCCGTCATGAATTATGAATGAGTTTGACTATGTTTGAGAAGACCTATCTGGTGCCATCATTATGTTTTACAGAACAATATATTTCTATCTGATCATGCCCACAATCACAAATCTGCCCCTAAATGTGTGTTCATTCGCGAAAAAAAGGCGACATATAGTTGTGCATATAGCCTGTGCCTGATATTAGCAACTATATAAGCTTTTTATTCTTCAGGCTCTGGGATCGGCGATGTGTGTAAAGGAGACTGGGACGGAGACGGAGTCCCGGATAAGTATGACGCAAGCAAGAGCAACAATAAGATAACATTCACTGACTTCAGGAAACTTCAGAATATACAACTTGATACAAGTAAGGGTGTCGAGGCTGATCCTGTTTGGATTGTAAAGAAGAAGGTAATCCAATCTTGATCCATCAAAAATCCTAATCTTCCACTGACAAATCCTAGTCGATAAATCCTAGTCCTCCTCATTCATCCTCAATTTCTATTATTCTTATTTTTCAAATACTTTTAACAATTTTAGGGAACCGAGGTGAAGCAGACTGCTAACAGTGATCCTGGAATTGCCGTGGGTATGAAATTGATAATTTCTGTAATATGTAATATACTGATCGAGTGTTTCCAATTGACTCTTCCAAACATCGCAGGTTAGATCTCACAGAACTATCCAGTATAAATAAAGTTAGTTTAGTTTAGGTTTCCTCCTGTAGTAACACTGGATCAATAAGAGATGATCCTTACTAGACCTCTAGGAAGAACAGTTGAACTGATAGAGCTATCCATTATGAATGAAGTTAGTTTAATTTAGGTTTCCTCCTGTAGTAACACTGGATCAATAAAAGATTATCATCACAGGACCTCAAGGGAGAACAGTTTAGAACTGATAGAGCTATCCAGTATAAATAAAGTTAGTTTAGTTTAGGTAATTTCTTTCTGTAGTAACATTGGCTCAATAAGACACAGTTCTTCCTAGAGGCCCAGAAAGGATCATTTAAAACTGATAGAGATACCAATTATAAATAGTTGATTTCGTTTAATTTTAGTTGTATTAAAACATGCATGAAACGAATTAATCGATAATCACGAACTTACTCTAAAAATGTTCTCGATATCAAGGAAATGACAGATTTGGTGGAGTAGATTTCAATGGTACGATGTACGTGGACGCGAAATACGACGACGATTTTATTGGCTTTGTGTTCAGTTACCAAGACAGCTCTTCTTTTTATGCCGTCACTTGGAAAAAAACTGAGCAAGTCTACTGGATCGAGAATCCTTTTAGAGCCGTTGGTATTTCTGGGCTGCAACTGAAGGTAAAGAGAAAAATAATGTTTTAAAATTTGGGGATTCATTGTAGAACTGAATTTCGATATGTTGTTTTAGAAAGTTCAATCATTTTCGGGTCCAGGTCACCGCTTGCGCAACGCTCTCTGGCACAGCCGAAGCACGCCGAATGAGGTAATGTTTCCTTATGTTAACTAAACTAAACTAGGATTGGAAAGTACCCATACAATTCCTGTGTCAAACTCGAATCATTGCCATAGAATTCCTGTGTCAAACTCGAAGCATTCTTCCGACATTATAATCAGACAACTGAATTTTACTAATCAGATTGTCCTGCATATAGCATCAACGGCATGGAATGGCTAACTATTGTTTCTTTAACCAGATTGAGTTGTTGTGGTCTGACATCAGACAGGCTGGTTGGGAGGCACACGTTCGATATCACTGGCAGTTAATGCATCGGCCTCAACATGGCTTGATTAGGTCAGTGTGGCTACAAAATTATTTTACCATTCATCTGCCCCACAGAGATTCAGAGCATCTCGGGTTTATGTATTGTAAGCAGATGGTGGTCAAACTGCAGTTATCAGAAGTCATTTTTTTCTTGCTCTAGAGGGCTCGAAATAGCGGGCTGTCAATGGCCAAAAGCAGGCCATATTTTAGAAATGGCAAGCGGAAACAAATTTGAACTGCCAAAGTAAAAAAAAATGGCAGGTGAAATTCTATAGATATATTTCATTTCATTTGCTCACCACAACTCGTATATACTAGATCATTTAGGTGACTAAGTACGTTTATATTTGAAATGTAAATCCAAGTTTACTGTAGTAAAATAGACAAGTTTAAAAACAATAAAAATGCGTATCATGAAAACATTGATTTTTACAATATGATTCATATGGGTGACATCGCCATTTTTGCAGTTCAATGAATAAAGACTGCCATATTTGTTCTCTACTTCGAGCCCTGTTGCTCTACAAGTTTCAATATTATTATTATATTATACTAAAGTTGAGTAGTTGACCACCATCTGCTGTCTTGCAAGGACTCTCTGAAACCATCAAGATAGAAATAAGAGAAGCCAATGACTTTCATGTAGGTTATCGCGTCGGAGAATTTACGCTAAGCAGAAGATGGAGGCATACGTTTTTTAGGTGTTGTTTTCTATTCAAATTTATTCTTTCTTTCTCAGGCTAAAGTTTTACAAAGGTAGACGAGAGTTTGCAGACACAGGATATATTCACGACAACACTTTTGCCGGAGGCAGGATGGGTCTGTATGTATTTTCTCAAGCTCAGGTGGTATGGACTGACTTGTCTTATCGAGCTAATGGTATGTGATATACTCTACTGAATTTATGTGTGAGAGCTTGGGTTTCTCTTATAATAATAGTTTAGAACTGATGGTAATGGAGCTATCCAGTATAAATAAAGTTAGTTTAGTTTAGGTTTCCTCCTGTAGTAACACTGGATCAATAAGAGATGATCCTTACTGGACCTCTAGGAAGAACAGTTTAGGACTGATAGAGCATCCAGTATAAATAAAGTTAGATTAGTTTAGGTTTCCTCTTGTAGTAACACTGGATCAATAAGAGATGATACTTACTGGACCTCTAGGAAGAACAGTTTAAAACTGATATGATAGAGCTATCCAGTATAAATAATGTTAGTTTAGTTTAGGTTTCTTCCGATCCTGTATAACACTGGATCAATAAGAGATGACTCTCACTGGACTTCCAGGAAGAACAATTTAGAACTTATAGAGCTATCCAGTATAAATAAAGTTAGTTTTTTATTTTAGGTTTCCTCCTGTAGTACCACTGGATCAATAAGGGCTTTTATTGGCCTTTGGAGAGAATAATTTAGAACTGATAGAGCTATCCAGTATAAATAAAGATAGGTTTACGTTTATGTCTATTTTTTACAGATGAACTTCCTGAAGACTACGACAACACTATAAACATAAGCTGAAACAAGCGTTGCCAGAAACGATATATATATATATTGAATATATCTTGAAGTTCTGCCTCGAATATTCAAAACAAAACATAATGGGCCTTAGTTAGAAAAAGAAGCATTTGTTTGGAAAAGAAGCATTTGTATCAATGCTTACAGTAAACGATCTTCTTCAACTGATGAAGTAACTGTCAATACCATGCCCAAAGCATATTATAATCGTGAACTTAGGATAAGACTGCATATATTGCATCTTGTATGTATTAATATCCAGTATATACATGTAAATACTTGCAAAGGTAGTCCAACATATCTATTTTTATCATACTAAAAATGTATTTGTTGTTTTGGCATTGTCTTTGCGTGTTCATCTGTAGATGCAAATGACGGTAATTGATGGAAAAGAAAGAGTGAAGACTGGGTCGAGTGATTTTATTTTTCAATATGGCGGAAAATACAAAATATTTTTGTGCTTTTAAATTTGTTCAAACTTAATTTTCTCTTCATTGAATGCTGTGACTTCGCTCAAACTTTGTGGACGTATTCCTCAAGTTGTGTAATTTGTGGTAATAATGTGGTCAGAAGTATTAAAGGCGGATTTTACTTGAAATGGAGTACATTTAGAACACGTGTTTGACAGTTTGTTGGTTTATACATTTATTGATATTGTTATTATACATAAACATCGATCGTGGCCTCCATATCTCAGGAATATGTCTGCAATCGAGGAGAGTGATATAGAAGGTATGTAAATGTTTATCGTCGCTTTTCAAATCGTAGATTTAAGTGGGCAATTGCAAATTTGCAGTTAAACTTGCAAGCAGGCACAAGCCTGTTAGCGAGACAGCACAGAGACATAGATAGAGACTAATGAAAGCAGAACATTGAGAATGGCTGCATGGGTATGCATAGCCAGGCAGTCAATTAATAATAGTACTATTAAAAGTGTGTTTTATGTATGAAGCTTCCTTTCATAAATCATAATATATATGAAATGAAATAAATGCATTATTGGTTTATCAAAAATACACAGATTCTGTAGGATTTTCTTGCAAATGTGCAGGCATAAAATTCAGTTGAAATTTGACCAAACTTTACAGTGATACAGTCTGATGTGGAAGTTTAAGATTGACTGAGATTAATGTTCTCTTAGGATTAGATATAAATGAACTTCTTAAGGAAAATGAAGCTTTATCAGAAAATTTATCAAAATGCATGGTGAGTATATACTGTGATACATGATGGATTCTTATCACATGACAATTGCTGCAAATCTAGTAGGTTAGCACTTAGCATATAATGTCTTGACATTTTGTTTTTATCAATTTTGAAGGAGGAAAAGAATTTTGTTTGGTCGTTATGGAAAAAGTTGCAAACAGAAAAACCAGATCTATCTTCGTTTATTTTGGGTTTGTTTTGAGGTTGCTTTGGTTTTTTTTGGGGGGTTGTTTTGGGTTTGTTTTGAGATTGTTTTTGTTTTTTTTTGTTTTCGTTTTTTGATGTGTTGTCGGCAGACCCTCCTTTCTCCCGGGGAAATGCTTGCAGTCTGGGACAGAAAAGGTGCAAGGCAAGCACTCCAACCACTTCGCCACTTTTTTTAGGGAAAAGGAAAAGAATGAAGTACGGGATGCAAAAGTCCTCAAGATTCTTGAGACGAAAGATTTACACATACAACAGTTAGAAAGAGTAAGAAATATTAACAGCAAATGATGTTACAGGACATATATATGTAGCCATGAAATCTGTCTCAGCAAAATATTTCAAAAATGTTTATAGGATAAAGTGGTTTTTGATGATGATCTTAAACAGAAAGAAGATGATATGAAAGCTTATAGCCTCAGGTTGGTAATCAGTACAATAAGCTTGCCTCCTGCATGGGGTCTCTCACACACATATACACACTCCTTCCCCAAACCAGTGTCCATTAAATCATTCTTCATGCAAAACACACAGTCTGAAATGTTGTGATAGTTTCTAGGACTGTCAGTGGTTTCTGCTTTGTACAAAACATGCTATCTGGTTTCCACACTAGGCTTCATGATCTTTTAATTGAGAAAGCAGAATTGCAAGAGAACTTAGAGTCTGTCAAAATTGAGTACGAAGAAAAAATGAAGTCCCTTGTTGAGGAAAATGGGTATTTATCTGAAGTGGTAGGTTGAACAGTTTTCAATCTTCGACACTGATGATGTCTTGGCAGATGTTAATAATAAATGTGGTCATTTTTAGGTTCGTGCAAGGCAGATCAAACTTGAAAATGATGAAAATGCTTACCAGATAAAACTGGATAATGTCGACAAAGAGAAACAAGGTACAATAACCGTGGCTGACGCTTTGTGAAATACTGGGAGGGGGCAGAAATTTTCCATTAGAATTTTGAGAACGGAATTCTGGCGAGTAAATTTAAATGGCTATGGTATGTGTCTGAACCACGACTGCACTTCTAAAAGGATTTAAAATATTTGAATGTTTTCAAACGTCATCAGCTTTTCTAAATATTTGCATACAGTCTATTTAATCTTTTTTCTGATAGTTGAGAAATCCAAATGTTGAGGTAACTGTAAGGTTAATTCTTCCGTTTCTCCTCCATAGAGCTTCACAATGTTATCAAAGATTTGGAACTCAGAGTGGATAAGCTAAATGAAGAGAAAATGATTAATTCAGCAATAATAGAAGAAAACATCCAACTGAAAAACCATCTAAACGTAAGCATTTGTATAAGATCACATTGTTGAATATGCTGTGCTAAACTGTACAGTTCACATGTACTGTTTGCATCTTGCTTTTGTTTGATTCTGTACTTTTAATTTCTACTTGTAGGTTCTTCAAGAGCAATTAATAAGCTTGAAACAAGAGGCAAGTTTTTCTTAATAATAATTTTGAATTATCCAAATGTACACGCTGAAAATGGTCAATGGTCAAATGAATAAAGATCATTATACAGTAATGGTTACTAATGTTTACTAATGTGGTTATTTTATATTAATCCATTCACTTGCATTACGCCTGCTTTATTTTTTGCTTTGTCTAATGCCAGAATTTTTCAAGGGGAAAGCGCTGGGACCCAATTGGTTACTCAGACCATCTGCCCGTTATATTGCACCCAAATGTGCCCTACTTTATTATTTTACTCTTACGCCAGACGATTTTGCTCGTCAAGAGGAGAGCGCTGGCGCTCAATGGGTTACGAGAAACTCCTTTTTCTTTGTAGCACGAGGATGGTATGACAACGTTACGGCTACGAGAACGTCAGCTACAGCAGCATTCCAACATGAATCAAGAAAACAAAGAGCTATTGAATGAAAAAGATGCACTTGTACATGCTTTGAGGTACTGTACACAAATAGCTTTTCTTCTTGTGACCAGTTTCTCATTCTGAATTCTGTAAATGAATATCTCCTGGATGCTGATAACCAGCAGCCTGAAAAAAGACGTTACTACAAACTACTTACGTTACTGCGTTACTGCAACTATATTTCATGCAGGTCAGCACTAAAACAGCATAAGCCTAGACATGCAGTTATATTAATAATGTTTGTCATTGTTTAGGCTAGAGCTCAATGAGTTAAAGTTAGTTCATGATCAGTGTGCCGAGTACGCGAAGGAACAATCCACTTTAATTCAAAATCTACAATCACTTCAAATTCAAACTCAGACAGGTATACGCGAATCAGTTGAAGTAACCTCCAAGATGTGTGATCTGAACTTTGCTTTGTTGTTTGTTGAAAATACACCACAATGATCCAAGTTTATGAATAATTAATCGTGATGGTTGTTTCCACAAATAAAAGCGAAAAATAATGAACTCTAAGTTGTTGAATGTCCTTGTGTAGTAATAAAAGCTCAAGAAGAAAAGTTTACGTCTGAAGTTATTGGTCTAAAAGAGGTAACAATACACACTGAGGCTTTCTCTTTTTGATACCAGCCTGATTGTATGGCGAACTTCGTATAATTTCTTATTTATATAGCAACTCAAAGATTCAAATAGATTGCGCGAGACTTTGGAAGCGGATATGGAACAGTCAAAACTGCAGGTTTTTTGATATATTTTACGAAAATCTCTTTCCTTGCTCAATATAATAGTTGTTAATGTATGAAAAGTTATTCAAAAATTAAATAAACAAAAAAAACTTCTCAAAATTTTTCAGGAATGTGAAACATGCACCACTCTCAAAGAAGAGTTGCAAGCAGTCAAAGATCACAACGACGAGTTATTAGAAACAACACAAGAAAAAAATCGGTAAATAATTATACAGTATATTATAATCATTTACATTCATGCAATCATATGCAATCAAAAATTAAATACACTGTTACCTTATTCGACAAACTAAATATCCCGTATTTGCTTAAAACATAATGGCAGTCGTGATCCAGTGATCGAAACGTTCCGTTGTCTTTTCGTTGTTTTGAAAATCCAATTGTTCTCAGTGCCATCGAGTCACTTGTTGTTTTTTTTTAACATTTATACAAAGGGTGTATTCTATATATAGCGTATACTCATAATACATGCGGAAATCTTACTCGTTGCAGACGTATTTCATCGCTTGAAAAGACTTTGGTTGCAAACGACAATGGGAAAACTGTAAGACATTGCAGCCTTTTCTGGTTTGCTCGACCTTACTACAACGTTCAAATAAAAAACTATGTTCTCTTGGTTTCTACATGCAGGGAAATTCACCATCAAAAACTCTGGAAAGGAAATGTAAATCAGCCAAGCAAAAGATTTTTGAACTTCAAAAAGTTCTGGAATTTAAAGTAAGACCAGTTGCACATGCCTCAAGTTTTTGACAGTTTCAAATAATTCTGTTTCTTTTCTCGCAAGCAAAATGAACTAGATGCTGTAAACGGCGCTCATTCCAACCGTCTACAACGCTACAAGAACCTCCAACATGAGCATAAAATTGTTCTTGAACAATTGAAGACTTTTGAAAATGCTAGGTAAATGAACATTCTTTTTAATTTGACCTAAGTTAATGTGATATTAATTGTATTTCATATATGAGAAGTTTATTATAGTGATTTGAAACATTACAAAATTTGCTTTATAACGAGATGCTAGCAAGCTTTTTTTAGTGGACTTTGTGCAATCTCGTTCCCCGAGCCTGCGATCCATATCAACAGCCCAGAGCCTCACGTTCCTTCCCAAGGATGACAGGCTCTGGGAACGAGGTTGGACTTTGTGGTGTTTTAAAATCACCATAATAAACTGATAAATTAATCGGTATTTATAGAGAAATTAAACGTAAAAGTTGACTTAGTTTATGGACTTTTTACCATGATATCATAATCATGAATATGATACGATTCTAATTATTTCGACAATGTTCGGAGTACACGTATATTTTCATACTAATTTTTCCTCAGTGAAGACGAAGCGAAGAATCACGTGGAAGAGCAATGTATTCCTCGAGCGTCGCCGCGATCTTTACAGAACGAAGACAGTGACTCGGTCTGGAATGAACTGCAACATTTCAAGACTGATTACGAGAAGCTACGCAATGAACGGTTAGTATGTTATGATGCTGTACGTTATGATGTTGTATTTATCGTGTGATTTTTTAAAATCTCTCAGAATTGCACGGCATAATTATTAACGGAGTCTTGAGTTATTTTCCGTGGAGGTCTAGTCACAGTTCGGTGAATGTCACATACACAGTTTGCCATTTTGAAAATGGAGTTCTGCTATTTGAAAAGGGAATTCTGCTATTTGAAAAGGGAGTTCTGCTATTTGAGAAAGGAGTTCTGCTATTTGAAAAGGGAATTCTGCTATTTGAAAAGGGAGTTCTGCTATTTGAAAAGGGAGTTCTGCTATTTGAAAAGGGAGTTCTGTCATTTGAAAAGGGAGTTCTGTCATTTGAAAAGGGAGTTCTGCTATTTGAAAAGGGAGTTCTGCTATTTGTAAAGAGAGTTCTGCTATTTGAAAAGGGAGTTCTGCTATTTGAAAAGGGAGTTCTGCTATAATTTGAATAGTGAGCTCTGCTATTTGAAAAGGGAGTTCTGCCATTTGCTATTTGAAAAGGAAGTTCTGTCATTTGAAAAGGGAGTTCTGCTATTTAAAAAGGGAGTTATTGCGTTTCATACACTAACCATCGTGCAAACATTTATGCATTTAAATTTTTTCCAAAAGAAACTCAATTTTCAACTTCAGAGATGATGTCATGGAGGAGGTCGATGTTCTGAGAGTCGAACATGCTAATGACGTCACTACCATTCAAGAACTGCGCATGTGCTTGGAAGATGAGAAACGAGGTATTGGTTGATTTCAGAACTGGTGACATTTATAGCCTTTATACAGACAGAAATAAGAAAATTCTCAATCTCTCAATTCTTATGTTGTAACGTCTGGTACATGTAGGTTCGACTCCCATGCGATCAAGCAATTGCTGAGCTGTGTGCATCCGCTGTGGAGATAGTTACATCAGCAAAACAATCTCTCAAGTCTATTCACTTGCATTGCTTTATATAATGAAAAGAATGAACATTATTTTCTCACTCTGATAACTGCAGGTTGCATGACCATCATCTGATGCACGATAGTGCTTAGTGAATCCTATCGATAGGCCTAGACTTTGTAGGATATTGTAGGTTTGTGAGATATAGTATAGTAATGCTCAAGAAAATGATGACATAAAGCAAGAAAATGAACGACTACAAAGTGAAAATAACGACCTTTTGCTGTGGTGTGTAAATTATTTTATGCAGCGCCTTCGCTAGAAGCATTCCAGTATATTTGTAATCTTAGTATTAGTATTTGTAGTTGAGACTCGAACCTCGACACCTTATTGTAGAATACTATCTACACTACAGTAGTTTGGTGGTTTTTTTAAGATGGACAATGTGAAAAACGACTGTAGTGTTACTCAAGAAGAGAAGGAAACATTGAAGAAAAATCTCAGGTATTTCCAGTTGGATTCATTGAAGCATTGCTGCAGAGGTTATTGACTAGGGAGCCATGGAGTGACGCTAGTACGTCCATAGTCTAAAACAACGCTGGAATATGTCAGGCAGCGCCGCTGCCAGGGTTGATTGTGATTCTGTTTTCTTTATTTCAGTGAGCAGGAACAGCTGGTGGAGCGTCTTGCAGGAGAAATATCAAAGTACAAAAAGGAATTAAAGGTGATGAAAAATGAAAGAAAGAAACGAAAGGAAAACGAGAATAAAAAGACACAAGTTGACGCAACTTTATTTGAAGAACGAAGAAAACCTACATATTCTGATAAGCAGGTGAATGATGTCTGGTTATAACTTCGTCTTGGTCGCATGCTACCAGTTTGACTTTCTCCTGGTTAGGAAGAACAGTTTAGAACTGATAGAGTTATCCAGTGTAAATAAAGTTGGTTTAGGTTTCCTCCTGTAGTAACACTAGATCAATAAGAGATGATCCTTACTGCACCTTTAGGAAGAACAGTTTAGAACTGATGGAGCTATACAGTATACATAAAGTTAGTTTAGTGTATAGGTTTCTTCCTGTAGTAACACTGGATCAATAAGGGATGATCCTTACTAGACCTCTAGGAAAAACAGTTTAGAACTGATAGAGCTATCCAGTGTAAATAAAGTTAGTTTAGTTTAGGTTTCCTCCTGTAGTAACACTGGATCAATACGAGATGATTCTTACTGGACCTCTAGGAAGAACAGTTTAGAACTGATAGAGCTATCCAGTATAAATAAAGTTAGTTTTTAATTAGGTTTTTTCCTGTAGTAACACTGGATCAATAAGAGATGATCCTTACTGGACCTCTAGAAGGAACAGTTCAGAACTGACAAAGCTATCCAGTATAAATAAAATTAATTTAGTTTTATAGAAAAGGTAGTTCTGGCATTTTAAAACTCAGTTTTGGCATTTGAAAGGGGAGTTCTGACATTTGAAAAGGGAGTCCTGGCTTTTGAAAACAGAGTTTTTGCATTTAAAAACGGAGTTCTGGCTTTTGAAAACGGAGTTCTGGCATTTTAAAACTCAGTTTTGGCATTTGAAAAGGGAATTCTGGCATTTGAAAACAGAGTTCTGGCTTTTGAAAACGGAGTTCTGGCATTTGAAAACTGAGTTTTGGCATTTGAAAAGGGAGTTCTGGCATTTGAAAACTCAGTTTTGGCATTTGAAAAGGGAATTCTGGCATTTGAAAACGGAGTTCTGGCTTTTGAAAAGGTAGTTCTGGCATTTTAAAACTCAGTTTTGGCATTTGAAAGGGGAGTTCTGGCATTTGAAAAGGGAGTCCTGGCGTTTGAAAACAGAGTTTTTGCATTTAAAAACGGAGTTCTGGCTTTTGAAATCGGAGTTCTGGCATTTGAAAACTGAGTTTTGGCATTTGAAAAGGGAGTTCTGGCTTTTGAAAAGATACTTCTGGGATTTGAAAACCAATTCATTAGTTATCATTGTTCTGATAATATAAGCACTGGCATGTGAGTTATCATAATTAAATCCTTAGTTATCTGTAACTTCAAACCAGTATACCAACTTTATTCCTCACCAGGCAAAGCTGCTGACGCAAGCTCAAGCATTACGTCACGAGGCAGAAACGGCGGTTAACGAGATGGAGGACGCGGCAAAAACTCAGCTTCATAATCTAGCCAATCAGAGCCAGGTTACACTCAGTGCTATAGAGGGACGACTTACTAGATCAAGACGAAGGCTTGATGAATTTCAAACTTTCGTTAGGGTATGTCGTTACAGCAGCAAGAAAATTGAACTACACTTTTTAATATTCTATTTATTCCGGCCTCCAAATACAAGACTACTACACACAATGAAAAGAATTAACATTATTTTGTCACAATGATAACAGGCAATTCCCATTATAGACTAATTTTAAAACTAGGCAAGGAGATGCAAATAAATCACCACAGCTAGAAAGAGCATACTAAAATGAATGCATGCAATTGCAAAGATTGGTTGCGAAATATTGTAAAATGCGGAAAATATAGCCTTGCAAAGTTTGCAAATTTTGTGTACTTTTGTATTGCGTGCGGAAATTGCTACCATTTTCGGCCCAAATGTGGTAGGAATTTCCGCACGCAATACAAAAGTATACCAAATTTTCGAACTTTGTAAGGCTATACTTTCCGCATTTTACAACATTTCGCAATCAAACTTTGCAATTTTACTCATTTTAGTATGCTCTTTCCGCGGGAATATACTTTTGCCAAGATAAAAAATTTGTCTATAATGGGAATTATAGACTAATTAAGGCCAGGGTCAAACGTCGAACAAAACATGCGCCGAACCTAATGCAAATGAAGTGAAACAAAGAACTTAGCTCATTAACATTAGGTTCGGCGCATGAAAAGTTCGACGTTTGACCTAATATAACTGCAGGTTGACCACCATCTGCTGCACGATGGTGCTGGTAAAACTCATCCATTGCTTGAATTCGACCTCTATTTCTTTATTTAGACGTTAACGCAGAGACTTACAGAGCAAATTAGCAACAAGAGACTGAACATGAAGCAAGAACAATTTCAGAGACTGGATGAAGAGAAGAAAACATCATCGATGGTCCAGGCTTGCGAGTTGGCTAGCTCCATTCTCAATATGTCCAAGGCAGATATCGATGAGCTGCTAGATGTTGATATGTATGAGGTAGTGCTGTTGTTTTAGATTTTGTATTGGTCGCAATAACGTCAGAATTTGGGAATGTGTAATTGTTGGAGAGAATCTAGTTTAGTTTATGTTTCCTCCTGTAGTAACACTGAATCAATCAAGATGATCCTTACTAGACCTCTAGGAAGAACAGTTTAGAACTGATAGAGCTATCCAGTATAAATAAAGTTAGTTTAGTTTAGGTTTCCTCCTGTAGTAACACTGGATCGATATGAGATGATCCTTACTGGATTTCTAGGAAGAACATTTTAGAACTGATGGAGCTATCCAGTGGCAGTACATGTATAAGTAAAATTATTTTAATGTATATTTTAGATTGATGACAGCTCAAAGCAAGATCAAGTGAGCGAATGGAGAGCACATGTAGAGGAAATATTATCAAAAGAGGTGGGTTTTCACGGTCGATGGTACCTTTCCTCTGAGGGGTGGGCCTGGAGATTGTGGGTCTCCAAGTTCTGCAATGTAGGTGAGAGTACAACATATACACCCCCATAATCCATATATACCCCTGAATTTGGCAACAAGTTAAAAACCGGCTAGCCGTAGAGCAGCATACTTGCATCAAATTATTCGCGCATTTGTTTTCATGTAGGAATCATTCGCCACACCTTTGATTCAACTGTTTCTGGACATTGTTGAAAATCTTCTCGTGTTGGAAAGAGGAATTAGTGATGGCAGTGAAACTGAAATACGATAAGTCGAACTTTTATATACATTATTTATTTAGAATGTGATATAGTGGAAATACTGTGTGCAACAAGTCGGGCCTTCGTAGCCTGTTCGCAGGTTAAGTCTGAGGGTGATTGATATTCAGTATTCACTGAGCAAGACAGTACAGAATATGGTTTAATGCGTACAGAAAAATGAGCTGTTGAACGTTTGCAGAGATGTGAACCCTAAGTAACAAAAATGCGGGTGATATATAATTTTTGACATGACGTCATTTTTTGTTGTTGAGAAAATTGATTGGTGATTTATAAAAGCCTTGCTAAGCCCCATATTTCTAACTTCCATAGATATTTATATTCTTGTTTATGACAAAACAGATGTATACAAACGTCTTAAGAGTTAAGTCTAGTTGAAGTAGAAGTGCGCATGCATACACTCTACCAACCAAAAACAGAACAACGAATCAAGAATCAGAAGACAGAATCACAGAATGCGGGTGAATTGCTATAAAATTTGCTAATGCGGGTGATTTTATGTGCCAATTTTTCCGCGTGTGATGATTCCAAAATGCGGGTGTCACCCACTCAATGCGGGTGAGTTCACATATCTGCGTTTGCCGTGAACCACACTGTTTCAAGGCAGATTATCGTATTAAAAAGGTTAATTCTGTATAAATATGCAAACAACGAGACGCTTGACCCTTCTCCAAACATATCGCTTGCAAGATTTTGCAAAACAATGGCTTAAGTGTAGGGGCAAATAAAGCTTCTTTATAATCCAGAAATTACAAAATAAACCGTTAAGACAAGTATAATCTCGTTTATGCAAATATGCAAACAATGTCAGCCTCTTGACCTTTCACATGCACACATGATAAATCATATCGCTTGCAAAATGTTTACAAAATATAGTATTACACCGAGTAAAAACAACTTGCTTCACCTCAGTATCGTTGTGAAATGTCGTGGATTAACACAGATTACGTGAAGTATCCTAGGCGCAGTTTACACCTTGGATATCAAAAGCTCTCCCGAGATGAAATCGACAGAGTTGTGGATAGACTCAGCTTGATGAAAGAGGAAACTAGGCCTAGTATTAATGACGAGCATTCGTCCAGGGGAATAAAGAAATCTCGTAAGCTAGATCAAGACGATGTTCATGCTCTGGTTGACAGATTATCAAAAGAGACGCGAAAGAGGGGAGATGACATTATTAAGAATGATAAGATGATTGTGACCTCCTATGCTTGGTGTAACGGGAAACTTCTTCATTTTCAACCTAAACCTTTGGATGGGACTTGGCATTGAAATGCGACATGGATTGTACGAATTGTGAAAGGTTTTGTTGGTGGCAATGGTGGGAATTTCAATTGTGCATTTTACACATTTATTCGGACCTGACCACGAGCGAGAAATGTAACTATAGCTGGGTTTGAGTCATGTGATACGATTGGCACTTGGCAGTCAACTCCAAACACATTTATCAGATCGAGTTCAATATTCATTATGAGTATTGATCTTGTGTTTGGTATCAAATATATGCAATTTAACAAAATGTACTTGCTCGCACAAGGCATAAAGCGGCAATATGTGCAAAGTTAATCACCAAGTGTTCCCCTATGTTTAAGGTTACAGAACACCTTTGAGTGTTAATTTTGCTTAAAATTTTTTTATTGGTTTCAATGAAAGCATTAGACTAGTTCTACTATCTGACCAAGTTTGACCGAAAAATATTGAAAACTCGCAGAGTTATTTAGTAAAATACATTTCGCTGCAATAAGAAAAACATTGAAAATGTAACATTCAAATTCAATTTTCTCCTGAAAAATTTTACGGTAATTACTGATTTTCAAACGAGCTGTGCTCCTGCGGGTTTTAACCAATTGTTCTCAAATTTTCACAGGACATAGCTAAAGACGTCAGTTTCAAAATTGTGTTCGGCTTTTGTTTAATTTTGGATATTTTAAAAATAAAGAGCAATTCACTCAAACAATTCAGAAATATATTGCAGTCGTCAAAGAAATCGCCATATCAGCGGAATGACGAAATAAACAAATATTTCCGAACACAAATTTTTAGAACAACTATTTTAAGGTATATAAAAATGATATTTTCATAAATATAACTTAAAACCAGCAGGAGCACAATTCAAAAGCGTAAAGGTACCGCGATTTAAGATTTTCCTGAATAATTCTTACATTATTTTATTGTTTGTTAATTTTACAACTTTACCATATTTTGCATGCACTGGAGAACATTTGGTGAAAATTTGATGAAAATCGGACTGATTGGATTTTCCGCAAAACGCCAAAAAGGGTGTCCTGTAACCTTAAGACTTGTGTTAAACCCACGGCACCTATACTATAGGCCCTCTCGCAAGCGATTGAACCTGCAGCCCTGCGATTCCGGTGCAGCTCTCTAACCAACCAAATTCTGCCCGCCAATCTAAAGGTGATGCCTGCTGAGGAGGCTACTGAGCTACAAAGTCCATAACCGTACCATGACATTATATTACATTACCTTAAAGTGTAGTTGTATTTTTTGCAACTGCTTCTAGTCGGGCAGATAGAAGGAAAAAACTTACTATATCGTGGGACAATTCCATTTTGCCTTCATATTGTGCCCTGAAGGCTAATAAGTACGTTTCTGTATGTTGGCCGCGTTAAAATTTCTTGTGGGCTCCTGCCGACACATTTCGGCAGTTAAAATTTCTTGTGGGCTCCTGCCGACACATAATGTTAGAAATACATTTCTAACACAAATGACTTGCATCATTTGAAAGCTTGCAAAAAACTACATATAAGACATTTAAACGGTTACCCGGGTTTTTCAAGTTCTTCTTTAGTTATGAGCTGTTGAATGTGTGTTTTCAGACTAGTACCCAGGAATTTTGCGAGATTTTGGCTTAAGTTTCACATCTGAAACAGCAATAACTCGAAAACCGCTTGAAAATCCCAGGTAACCGTTTAAATGTCTTATATGTAGTTTTTTTGCAAGCTTTCAAATGATGTAAGTCATTTGTGTTAGAAATGTATCAGAAATTTCACATTTTTTAACTGCAAAATTCGAAGAAAAACGTGTCGGCAGGAGCCCAGAAGAAATTTTAACGCGTCCAACATACAGAAACGTACTTATTAGCCTTCAGGGCACAATATGAAGGCAAAATGGATTTGTCCCACGATATAGTAAGTTTTCCATAATTTTGAGCCTCTATCTGCCTGACTATTCTGGTTATAGGTTTAAATAAATGTGTAAAATTCGCACTCGCAATTTACATCTACAACCTTTAAAGCATATGGTGGCTAATTTCGGAACAATTCGTTGAGACCAAGTACAAGAGGGGGCCTCCAAGTTAAATGGCAAGAATTAACATTTTCTCACTCTGATAACCCTTGTCGCAAACTTTTGAATGGAACTCTGGAATTTGGCGTTGAAATATGGTGTTTTGAAATGGCGAAGCAAATTCCACGTGCTCGAATGCAAGCACTCATTCTGTGCAACGGAACGTATTAAACGCTGATTCATGATAATAGTTCACGTTGAGTGCATGGTCGCGACCTCTTAAGTTTCCGTACAACGTTTTTTCCAAACATGCATTTCTGTGCAAAATCAATGAGCATTCACAAAAGCTCTGTTCACATCAGTTGTGTACATCAGTAATCTTTATTCCCTAATCATACAAGCATGACAGCAGATCTGTACAACATCAGTATTTACTGATATTAATTTTTAATCACGCAACGTCTGTGTATATACCGCTATATATACATGTACAATAATATATAATACTGTAATTTTTTCAGTATTGTTCTATTTTTCTTCGTATTTCTTGGATTTCTGCTTCCTTCTGTGACGTTTCTTCGTTCCATTGTTTATTTCTTGCCATTGTCTCTTGTAATTGTTTTCTCGTCCATGTAACTTGCGCCTGGTTCTTTTTCTGCAATCAAAATTAACTTATTTATACTGGATAGCTTTATCATGCAGTTCTGAACTTCTCCCTCTAGTAGGAATCATCTCTTATTTGATCCAGTGTTACTACATGCAGGAGGAAACCTAAACTAAACTAACTTTATTCTAAGGTGTTTGATAGAGTCGAACTATGCTAAATAATCCCAATAATAGAATTTTGCATTACCTGCAAAAGTTCGACATCTTTCTTGAATCTGACTTGCTTCTCCTTTTCATCAGTACTCTACGATAAGAGACATGCAAGTTTAGACCTGCAAAAACTAATTTCTCTGACCACTATTACAAACAAAATTCTGCCAATATTCCAGCATATGGCACATGCATCCGTCCATTTCTCACTCTATTTTTTTCTTTGGCTTATTTCTTTCTTTTTTCGTCCGTTTTCTTTCTTTCTTTTATTATTTCGCTCTTCATCAGGAAGTTTTCTGAGAACTTGAAGGGACCAAATGCTCTCCACCCCTATGGAGTACACGTACATTTATTTACATGTTTAACAATGACTGCGCTAAAACCAAAACCTACTTGAAATTTTATTTTCAAATTTTGCTTTAGTTCACTTATTGATTCGTCCAACGTGAACAACTCCGCCATACATATTTCCTTGATTTCTCCCGATAACAGTTTTGGAATATCATTGGATTCTACCAAACTTTTCTCTAAAAACATATCAGTGTGATATTTACAGTACTATAATTGGTCCATAGACATACCCAATTTACATTATATATATGCGTGTGTGAGTGAATTGGATGGGATAACTGCACATGCCTAGTTACCACTGTTCTGATTATGTAAGCATAGAATGGAACAAAGGTAACCAAGCATTTAAATTATATGTGGAAAGTAATTATACATACTTTCTTTATTTAGCATTTCGTAATATTTCATGTTGTTTGTTATGTTAACATTGACTGCATCAGAACTTTCAGCTATTTCAGAGAGCTCTTTGTGTTTCGTCATTTTCTCTTGGTATACTTCATAGCCACTACGCAAAATTAACAATTTTGAATTAACCTTTTGATTAATTTACATCATGTCATCAAATCACTCAATGTTTTGACTTATTCAAAGAATTGTGGGATGTATATACAAACCGTTTTTCCTTCGCTAACTCGTTTTCTTCAACGCAAATGTCTCCTTTGAGTGCTTCGGTATTAGCGACCAAAACGTTGAGCTCTTTTGTAATAGTTTAAAAAAATAATTACTGCTAATATAATGCTATCGAAGAAGCGAACTAGACTTTTCCAAGGCAATAATTAAATATTTGGGAAAACAAAGAATGTTACTGGACTTTTTGGCAAACATTTTACTTCCTCATGGATAAACAAAATTCGTTTTTCAACACGTCGATTGTTTCAAGCTAAAAGTCGTTTGGCTATATTAAAATTATATTAAAGGTAAAGCATTGTCCATTGAGAACTATCCTGAACTACCTTTTCTTAAACTTTCACAATTCTTTTGACAAGTTTCGATATCGTCTTGAAGTAAATTTGATTTCCGTAGAACTGCTTGGACGTGTTTTTCAGCCTCTCTTCTCAAACGTAAAACTAAACAATTTTTTCAAAGTTCGCAAGTAAAATTCTTGGTGTTTTTGTTGCAAGAACTATAGGGTAAAAAAGCAGTTTTTAATCCTACCTTCGCGATGTTCGACCTGTACGGAGAAAAACGGAATAAAATAAGTCACTACAAAGTTTTTAATAAGCAAAGTCAGCAATATATTGCGAATTACCTGCAGTTTCCCCAAAAACTCAACTCTCTTTTCGAGACGTAAAACTTGATTTTTCTGCGCTACTGCGACTTCGCCAGCAAGTACCGGCAAACTGGAAGTATTTTGAACAATATCTGTACGTTGTACTGTTGTGTTTTCAATCTGAATAATTCTTGTCGGTTTCGGAGGGCTTGATAAGTTTAATATTTCCTCGCATAAAGCCAGCGCTTCGTTGTCCGCCATCTTGTTTTTTTTTCTGATTTATTAGTTTCCAGTTTTCTGAATGCAAAGTCGCGTACATTCCTTGATTGACCATTTGCGTAATAGACTAAATTTTGAACTAAACAAGTTTAGACAAAAATTTTATCACAGCTTGAAGGAGCATCACAAAATTAGTAATATTCCAAAGTTTCGTTGCAAAATGTTGTAAAATGCGGAAAATATAGCCTTGCGAAATTTGCAATTTTCAGTCATTTTAGATTACAAACGGGAAATTGACAGCCCCCAACCCTTCGAGGCTGTCAATTTCCGGTTTGTAATCTAAAATGACTGAAAATTGCAAACTTCGCAAGGCTATATTTTCCGCATTTTACAACATTGTGCAACGAAACTTTGGAATATTACTAATTTTGTGATGCTCTTTCAAGCTGTAATGAAATTTTTGTTGAAATCAAAATTTAGTCTATTACGCAAATGGTCAATTTTCATTGGCTGGAATGAGATTTTCCGTGCCAATCAAAAGCTGGAATTATTTTTCTTGGCCAATTAAAATTATTTGCCGAAATGAGATATTAATATTTTTAGTATGTACGTGTTCCTTATATATTTACCTTCTATATCATCTATCATGAATAAACCCACGATAATAATGTAAATAGGCAATTTCCGTTATTTTTTCGCCCCCGGGGCCACTTATTTTTCCCGCCCGTACTATATTTAAACAAAATCTGGGTGAAACGAATGGAATTGCATTCAGAGGAAGTCAGTTATAAAAATAGGCTGTTTTCTGGTGAAGCGTTTATTACACACCACATCGAAAAGTTTAATTAAAACCATTTTAATGTTTCTGATGAAAAAAATTAAATGTATATCGAAATTATCGAAAAATGTGGAGGAACAGACCATAGTAATTCCATGAACGTCATTTTCAAAAATGGGCCTGAGCTAAGTGAGGTTTGACGTAGCTTCTTTCTTGAAAACACAGAGCTTGGAATCAAGAAAGGCAATCGATGCTATATTGTGTCCTTGATTTCATGTAAACACAACTTGCATGGACTTGTGATATTCGTGTCGGCAAAAACGTTTGCTTGATGAAAATTATCGAAGAATGCGGAGGAGAAAACAACCAGAGCAAATTCATTGTAGTCTTGCATCGCGATAATAAATTTAATTGTTTGTTTTGTGTGGTAAATAGTACCACGTTTATTGATAATTGCCAAACAATTAGACCAAGGGAGCACAGCAGTATTGTTTTCGAGACTTGCGTACCTCTATATGTCTGTAAAATCTGTGAATAGGTAGTCTTTGTCTTCTTTGGTTTGCTAATTTGCATATAAACACTAAAACACTCTTTTTAAATACGTAAACAAGCTAACAATTTTGTAATATTTTCGTATAAATATTGTTTCCCTTCGACGCGCCTAGCCTCCTCCGCAGGCATCTCACTGAGGAATCGGGTGGTGAGAAAAAGTTTGGTGAGATGCCTGCCTAGCCTCCTCCGCAGGCCTCTATGGGTTTTAGACTGCGAATCTGCTGATAGAGCTAT